TCTACAATACAAAAACAACCAAAGCTACCAGGAAACATTCCATTTTATATAAATCATTAACCAAAGAGTTGAAGCAAGGAGAGAGAAATTGGGACGTTAAGAGGGATTTATAAGAGAATCAGTCTGACGGCTGAAATAGCAGCAATCCCAGCGTGGAGCCGCCACGCTGGGAGAGAATGATTTCCATTCTGCCCATTTCCTCTTTCCCATTAGCTTGTTTATCACTTCACAATGCAGATGTCCGCGGCTCATACATCAGACCTCTCTGTTGCCTGTGTTTTTGTGCTATTAGCTTGTGAAATTTTAGTTTCCTCCTGTGTTCATTAGCATGCCCTGGTGCTTCAGGGTTCATTATGCATTCCTCAGGCCTGGAGCTTCCAGAGGGCTGGACGTACATTGGCAACATGGGTAAATGTGAAAAGCATCCAATGACGGGCCTTTGTAGAGAAGTTGTGTGGGAATACACAAAAGAAAAGATACGGACAAACAATGGATATTTAAAAATATATTATATTCAAAGAAGAGTCCCTCGAGAGCTGCTTTGAACTAGACCGCTGAACATGAACACTCAATAATAGAAATTATTGGTACTTATCTTGAAAGCTCATTAAAGAAAGATTCAGCACAAACATACGTGTCATCTGGACCTGATTCTGAGTACAAACTGGCCCAAAGTTTTTTCCCCCCAACCACAAAGCGGAGATACACCTTCAGCTATTACACCCAGCGGCCGGTCTGCCCACATCCAGACGGACGCGGAAATCCACGGATTTCCAATGAGGTAAAAAACAAATAGTTTGGTGATCCACTCATTGTCGAGTCAGAGCTGCAGTTGATTGTTGATGCTTTTGTTAAATGGGCTCCGATGAAGCGGTAAGTGCACCAATGTTTTTGGCAACTGACCGCCATTTTTATTGTCAGGAATAAACAACTTTTTCTCTCACTCAGTTGTGTATTCCTTCGGGCGAGAGATCGTTCCTTCGATGCCCTCCCTCCTTTGAGTTCCAACAAATGAGTTCATTTCTGTGCGTTGCCACTCGTGCGTGAAGACACGTTGGAGGAGGGTCACTTCGATGTGTTGAGATCCGCAGACAAAGCCTGAGCTGGAACTATAGATTTTTCAGGAGGAGCGACACACAAACACAAAAGCACTGACCATTGTGGCCATCAAATTCCGAGATTGTCCCCCCCTTCCTCCCCGCCCACACCTGATAAGGTGCATTAAAAAGGTGTTTGGTGTTTACAGCAGCACTAATCTTCCATCAATCGCTTCCCCTCTCTCTCGGTTCCTCATCTCCTCCCTCCTCTCTGCTGTTTCCCTTCCCCTCTCTTCGTCTCTGTCGCTGTCCTCCAGCTGGCTAGCTGAGATAACTCCTCCACACCGAGGTACTCTCAGCTCATTGGAACGCAGGGGGCACCAACCGAACCCTGCATCGTTAGCGGCGAGCTCCTAACTGTTGTCGGACTGTTCCAACATGTCCGCCACGTCCCAAACTCCGGCCTGCTTGTGTCTGCGGCGTTGCTGCGTTCATGTTGATTCCTCTTCGACCAAGGAGCCGAGAGATTTGTTTGATCGATGACTCTGCACTCTCTCAATTAAATTGAATGTGTCAGAGAACGTACTGAAACTTTGTGTTTTGATGTCTTCACCGACCTGTTACACAAAGAATCCACCTAAAGTCATACAGCAAGTAAACATTGAAACCGATCAATCACAGAGTGACGGTACATGACGCACACCGCATGCTCATTTGCCACATCCAGGAAAGGAAGGAATGCTGCTGATGTGAAAACATTGAGTTTTCCACTCATTTGAATCCCCTCCTCTCTGGGTGTCATGCTCGTGCACTGAACGATTTGGCTTGAAACTCGACTGGCTCTTACGAACAAGTGTGGAAGCAACTGTGTTTGGAAACACGGTGCTGTGCTGCCATCCTCTGTTCACACCACATAGCTGCTCGGTGCGCACCAATAAAGTCTCCCTATACATTTGGAATAGTTCTAAACAAAGTAGAAGTAATATAGAAAGGTATTCCAGTTAGAATATTGATCCATGATCAGAAACTTCTTCAAATGCACCGTTCTGTCCCGACCGATGCTAATACTTATTCTCTGGGTGTGTTCATCACTGACACACTGGGATCCAGTGGGGAGACAGAAAAAGTTTGGCTGGTCTATAACCAGGGGGCTGTCTAACTATCTGATTTGGCTGCAATATTTGACCTTTTTCCAAAGCGCATCTCGGCTCCAAGCTTCAAATATGATAACATTTCCAACAGAAAGGTTAATAGGCAAATTTACAGAAGGTCAAAGATCCTCCACTCCCCCAATACAACACACCCTCAGTATAGCAAACAAACAAACAACTCCATAGAAGTGCGTCTGAAAGGCCAAATGAGTGTGTGTTTGAGGGAGCACTGATTCGTAATTAGGTCAGAAAATGTGGAATTTAGGTGGTCCAGATATTCTGAAAAGTATTTCTAGCTAAATAACAAAAACTTTGTTATTGTATACTATTAACCAACTATTAACTAAACCTAGTGAATCCACAAAATGGCAAGCTCAATGTAATCATATACATTAAATTAAATAACTCCTTTGTAGTTGTTGTTACTTATAATGTAAACAACATCAAATGATTAGAATTAAAAAAAATTGTCTTAACAACCTGAACATTTTGTGTACGGTAGAATATGGGAATTATGAGACTGGGACATTTAACAAAACTGTACACACTCTTATGAATTGTAAGGATTCGTGTGATTGCAAAACTAACAAATGAAGAATATTAAAACAAAAACTGTGAGATACTACCAGAAAAATATTTTTGTATCATATGCAACACAAATCAATACAAAAAAAGATTGCTAAAAAAAATAGATGTGTTAACACCAGTGACGCCAAATAACACCAATAACCTTCTTGGCGTCTGCATTTTTCCTCCAATATCAATGCATGTTTGAAACTATTTAGTAAAAAATTTATATAACTTAATTTGAAAACATTGAATGCCGAGATCAAACTCTAACCCTTGAAGAGTTTGTTAGTGCAGATGAACAATACTGAATATTACCGTTTTTTTCCCTATTATAATCTTCGTCATTTATAATATACAATATATCGGCAGGCCAGCTGTAATAGTAACTAAACATAATCCTGCGGACCAAATGCGGCCCGCGGGCCTTAAGTTGGATAACAATTAAAGAAAAACCTGCAATATTTATAATGGTTACCATGGTTGACATGTTTTCAGGCAAATCAAAATCATTAAACTGTTCAATTTAATCCATTTTAATGTTTAATTTTGAACCATGCGACCAATAAATGACACACAACACAAATGGCAGCCTTGAAAGGTTCCCTCAAAATTCTGAATGAAGTAAGTCAACTTATGCCTTTGTCCATTGCATTTCCTCAAAGGACCTCTTATCCAGGAACAATCAATAAAGAAAAGAAAAAAGTCAGTGTAGTATTTCAAAATAAAAGAGTTTTGTCGTTGTAATTTAATATTCTTTATAATAATTAGGTATTTAAACGTTTTTTTTAACCGTGTCAATGTTATATTTAATATAATTGCCAGAATGTAAAATTGAACATTATAAGAATAAGCTGTTATCACCAGTTCAACATATATAATTTATGTAATAACTAAGTGACGTTAAAGGATTTCAGTGACAGCACCTCCAACTCTTTTTGGTAGAATGACCCAATCACAAAGCGGCGTCCGGATTGTGAGCTAATGCGTGCCAAAGGGCCAAACGTCAAGTGACTGTGGAACAATGCTGCACGTCGCTGTTGTTGTCACTGATCGTGTTTCAATGAGTCCACGTGCACAGCGGCCTCTAGCTGAATAGCGCGGTTGCGTGTTTCAGCCAGCAGGCGGCGGTGCGCCCCGCTCACAGAGCACTGCAGTGCACGTATGATGAAAAACAGGCAAATGTTTTCAAGTGAGAAGTTACTTGAAACAATGACTTGAGTGGATTGGTGATCATGAAAATACTGTAATTGATTAATTTCTCTGTTGATCAGTGAATCCAGCGTCTGTTACAGCTCGAAATATTTGTAATCAATGATTCAGCCCCAATCCATCATTTATTCTAATTGCATTGTCTCATATGTATGTGCTCTATATATTATCACTCCATTGTTTTAGTTTGGTTCCATGAAGATTTTAATATTGAGCTTTGTTTATTTCTATGAAGGGCCGATGAGGACAGGCATTGAATACTAACTTAGGCCATAAATGCTGTGTTATGTGACACTGGTCCTTACTATAAACGTGGCCTTATTAATATCACCATGACATATATAAATAAGGCTTTAACAGGGCTTTCAACAATTCAAGGATGGGAATGAACTATCATGCTTACTAATCCTCTACTCATAACAAGCACGCAATCATATAAATATAGGTATAGAGTCACATATAATTTTCCCAAAGAGGCATATAAGCCAGATGAGTTTTATTTAAAGTATTGTCTGTGTTTTGTATACTTGTTTTCGTTGAACTTTGTGTTTTTGTGTAAACGCCCTTGTAAAGGGTCACCATTATGACCAAATTATCTTATAAAAATGAATCTAAATGAATGTTTTACATGAATATGTCCTGACAAAAATAAACAAGTCATTGACTTGCAATCATATCATACATTCTCATATCTCTCAATCATCCTCAGTGTAATGAATACAAGTGAAGACAATATACACCATTACGATTGGCCCTAGAAGGAGACAAAATCCTCTTTCCATCCATCTCATGCCAGTCAGGGAGACTTACTCAGCAAAAATGCTCAAAATGCAATCTATAGCAAACACAATGTAGTAACACAATGGATCCATCACAATCCCTCAGACATGAGCAGTAACAGCCCATCTGCTTCCTATCGGTGGTTGGTTGCATCTAGTCTTTTCCCCGGAGAACATTAATATTGATGCCGTGGAGGAAGGCTGACCAAGCTCTCTCTCTCTCTCTCTCTCTCTCTCCCCATCCCTCCCTCCTATACCCTCACCCTAGATACAGGCTGGCGCGCACACACCGGCAGACTCACTCAGCTTCCGCATAGCTCTCCCTTCTACATCTCTGTGTCTCCATCCCTCCCTGCGCTCCCTCCGCCCGGTGGATTTTAGCCCCGCTGCTGTGTTGAACACCGGTAAGAACGAACCGTCTCGCCGCCTGTGTGTTTTCTCATTGTCTCTGTGTCCGCGTGTCCCTCCCGTGGCTCGGTTTTACCCGGAGCCAAACAAAGGATTGGGGTGTGGCTGGATGGAGGCTGATGGCTGCTGTGAGATGAGGGGAGAGAGGGATGTTGAGGATGATGATGGTGGTGGTTGCTCCAAGAGAACAATATAGCAGATGTTAAGAGTTATTGTGTTTACTGACAAATTGGAGCAAAAAAAGTGGTTTACGACTGCTTCCTGTTGATATAAAGACTCGGCTGAGCTGGATACAGACACCACGTAGCAGCTCGAGGTCAATTGAGAGATGATTCAGTCAGCCTCGTACCAAGAAAGTGAAGCATTTTAAATATCGGCTGTCTGTTTCTATGTCGCAGCCATTTTATTATAGGCCCCCCATTCAAATTCAGACGGGTAAGAGGGATGTTACACTACAGCTTGCTCTGCAGAATGACTGGCTGGTGGGCTTGTCGCATTTCCACAGCAGTCTGTGACGGAGCAGCGGGGACGAAAACAGGCGTGACTCAGCCAGACTGCATGAGGCAGATTAATGCGGCCTGGTGGGCAACATGACTGCAGTGGAGCGTCGCTTCCAATCCACGAGGCTGCAGGGGTGGATGCAGAGGCAGCGAGAGGGAGAGACAGAGAGAGAGGGGATTGCGTAGGAGGAGAACAAAGACGTCGGCTCAGGACAAAGGGAGGAACCGAGGGATGTAGATAGAGGAAAGAGGCACATCTTAGCTGGTATTTTACAGACGGGAGCATGTGGGCGGACATCCACTTGGGCATGTTGAAGCCACTCCCTGTATGTGATGGTTGCAATGATCGCCTTTGACAGCAGAAACCATCCAGATATCCTTCTTTTGAAAACCTCGGTCCAACACTGTAGGATAAATTTTGCGTCACTGCTCCATAATCAGTGTGACAGCCGTCGGGAACCGTCAAACTTGTGTGCTCAGGTGTTTTCTCTTTCCTTCCATCTTTCGCAGCCAAGATGTCAGACAAGCCTGACCTGACCGAGATCGCCCGTTTCGACAAGGCGAAGCTGAAGAAGACGGAGACAAAAGAGAAAAACCCTCTGCCCACCAAAGAGAGTGAGTGTCCCTCTGCGTGTGTGTTTCTAGACAGCGGGGGGAAATGCTGCAACATCAGCAGATCTTTGATACACAGCAAATCCAGGAGCAGCACGGCGCACGCACTGCACACAAGCCTAAAGTATCTCCCTCTTTCTCTTCCTCAGCCATCGAGCAAGAGAGGAAAGGCGACGCCACACCCTGACTTCTGAGCACAAGAAGAAAAAGACGCTGAGATGCCACAGCAAAAAGCACTTTCTTTTGATTATCACAGTAATTCAATCTCTTTCTTTGTCCTTGGATAAGGGAGCTCCTGAGCTACCTTGGGGGTCGCCGTAAGGGTACATGGCATCCTCACATGGGGGGGAGGGGGTGGGGGTGGGGAGCTCTCTTACCACTATGGGTGGAAAACCAAACTTTAGCCTGGGTGCCTGTCTCGCACTGTTAGCCCACAGCTAACATGTCTCCAATATTGCCAAACTAGGGAGTGGTGTAGTGATGTAGCACGGAGGGATAGACAGGCATCCAGGCTCTAGGGGAGAAGGGGGAGGGGTGACTACAGTTGTGGGCGCACTCAGTCTAATCATGTGGGATGTTTTCTTAATAAACTTTTTACTTTTCTTCATGAAATAAATATGAAGACATGGAACCATGTGCATATCGCTGTCTCCTTTGTGTCCACATGCAGATTCTTATAGATACCCATGCGGCATGGACTCGTCCTGCACGCTGTGGAATTAATACACAATAACAATGGCTTGTCTGGTGTGCTTTCAATTGACCTGCAAGGGATAAAAATATAGTTAGACTTATGTAATTCAGGTCTTATGAGTGCATATTCATGGTCATAGTTCAAAGCACAAACAGGAGTCAGATCCCTGTGTGCTTTACCAAAACAAACATTTAAGAACACAGGATGGAAACACCAGTTATTTGCCTTCACTATAAGTCCAAGTCACTACTATTAAACATCATCATCACGGGCGTATTGCAATAAAAATGAATCAATAAATGAATAAAGAGGATAACAAAAGTCAACTCCTCATTATGAGTTTCATCGTCTCCTTTAAATTGTCTTATAGGCAGCTATCGATATTGTTTCACGCTAGATTAGATTGTTACTTTTTGCTTAGCATTACTTGATGCACAGAAAATTAACAGGTAATTCTAATCTTTATTCCTATTTATTTACATATTTATATAAAGAAACAGAGTCAAATCCCATGTATGCATGAGTAGCTATCTGCATGTAAGCATATACATGGTCAATAATGCTGGATAAGGATAAGAAAGCTATTTGTATTGTTCTGGCACGTTATCAACCAAACGAGCACTCATTGAGGAAGTCAAAAGAGCAACAGCTGGCTAGCTGGGAGGTGGTAGGGGGACCCTGTGACACTGAGCTATGGAGTAGCCGGGGTTCGAACCAGCAACCTTGCGGTTCCCGGAGCACCCTCCCTATAGTCCATGCGCCACCCCTCGACCAAGTAACAATATCACTATGATAAAAAAAAAACACATGCCATACAAATAACAATAATGATATTTCAAAACATCCCTTTTGTTACACAACGTCTTGAAATACGCACTTCCTACCGACCTTCCCCGCATTCACGCTTCTTGACATTCAACAGAATGATCTACAGTGTGGCCTGTCGTTTCTCGTTTTATCACGGGTTATTTACTGCCTTTATATCCATGTTCATTTGCATGTGATGTCGCAGGCTGGCGTCAGCAGTCCTCGCACCCATCCCCAGCCTGTGAAGCCCGTCACCTCCCGAGCCTTTAGTGCTCCATTTCTCTCACCTCACATGGCCATAAATCACTGGTCAGCGCTCCCCGGACGGCTTAATGTGTCAGAGATGTCTGTTAGAACAATTTAATTAGCACGCATTTTGACTTTATGTTATTCTAAGCTTGGTGTATATCAAGGGTAACCCATACCCTGGCGTTTCCTCTCTTCCTTCCTTAAGTGGTTACTCAGCAGGCAGTCGGATTTCCGCGGTTACCTAAGCAGGCAGTTGAATTTTAGTGCACCTATATGCTAACATTTACGGTATTACATGAACGCTGACTGAAGTATGTGTGTACAGAACATCTCTGACTACTCTTATAAATAATGAAATGTTTTACTGTACAAATTTAGAGAATTATCCAAAGTCCTATTTGCAAGGATTTCTCAATATCTGCAATACAAACGATGACTATACTCTTGTACAGAAAATGAAATGATTTTAGTGAAGTATCAAATTGATCATTTCTCCATATTTGAGCAGCAATAAAAATTCCAGACAAAGATAATGTACATGTGGACCGCTCTATGATACAGTTAAATACAATTAAATATTTGTTCTATACCAATTAGGAGATTTCCACCTAAGTAAAAGGTATGAGCGTAAAGCTAATATCTCAGAATTTGAAGTCATGTTAATGATGTGTGTTCAGGAGACCTCCGACTATTCCTCTGCTGAAGGAAATATTTCTATTGTACAGATAGTTATATTCTGAATTAAAATTGCATTTAAACATTTAGAAAGTCAATATATACATATTTGAGCTATTATATAATATTGTTTCTTAATGCTTCCAGACAATGTTGGAAGTATATACAGTTGTGGTCTTTTTGTATACAGTTGTAAAGAGCATGTATATTATGGCTTGCCTTGAGTTTCCAATGATTTCTACACCTAGAACTTATTTGTCCGTGATAAGATGATTGGAACACATTCTTCTTTGTCACAAAATACATTATTAGGTTCATTATTAAATTAGGTTATTTTACGAATTTAGTAGGAGGCTTCTAAAAAATCGTTTAATTTGTAGAGTAAAAATATTTCATTTTCTGTCCTAAACATTCTTGTTTGCCTGGAATTATTTTAAAACGCATTTTTATTGCAGCTCAAAACAAGAAATTGAACACATACTTATTGGACTTCTGTCAAAGTAGTGGGACAATTTGTAAAGTAACTATTTAGAGGTCAGAGAGGTCCTTGACACATTTTATTGCAGCTAAAATATTGATTGATTATCTTTTTTGAACATATGGGACATTTTTCATTAGAGAAATCGCTAGATTTGTACAGGAAAAATATTTAATCATAGTAGTCAGATGATGGTCCTGAACACACATACTTCATTCCGTCATTGTCCTGAATTTTTAATCATTCCGCTAACATGTTTGATACCGTAATTGTTAACCTAAAGGTGCACTGACATTCAAGTCCCTGCTGACTTGACCACGGAAATCAGAGTGCCTGTTAAATTCACCGCAGGATGAAAGCATAAATAAATACATCAAATCCATAAGAGCTCCTAAATTGTTATTATCGTGACTTTACGCTGACAGTTTATATTACTAATAATGCAATTAGCATACGACCACTGTCAAATACTTGTTGACAGGGCACCAATATTTCAGTTTTGTCATTTTAAAACGATGATAATAATAAATAAATTGAATTAACGTCTTTAAATGACGTAGCCCACGTGATTGGCCCTTCAGAGTTTCGGTGATTATGAGAAAACTATAGCACCGACGCTGACATACGCCCCTCTGCGTTGACTACTATTGTTTCCGCCTTATTAACCCATTCAATTCGTTGAAGGGGCCACCGGGTTGATGACAAATTACGAGCCCTTGCAGATTGATTTCTAATCGCTCCGTATTATTTACCAACAAGGTGTCGACGGTCTTCGGGTTTCAGTCGAATCGCAGAAGGAACGCGGCCGATATCTAATTAGTGGGGATTATCCTCACCTACTCTCCGCTGTTGTGTGGAGGACCTCGCCCGGCCGCCCGGCTATTGTCCGCGGCGCAGAGTGGATTGTTGTCTTAAGGGGATCTTGAGTGGCTTAACGTGGATTTGACATGTGTGAGCAATATGATCGACAAAAACTCTAATGATAATCACTAACTAACCCGGTACCTTCCCTCGCGTCAAACCGGCACGGTGATGATTGCTGATGATCGCAGTGATTGTGGAGGCTATCAAGGATAATCACAATTAATCCCAGATCTCTACAATGAACGATGATCGAAATTAATCTTTTTTTTTGTATTAACATCTACAAATCTAAACCACCCATGAAACCAAATGTACCGTGCAAAGTTGGCTAAGACATACAAACTCGTATATTTTGTTTTCCTTCTTGTAAATTCCAGACTGTTTTAACACCAAGTGGTTTCCCAGGGAAACATCTATTATCCTATTATCAAGACGATGCCAATGTCGCCGATGTGTGAGGCAGTATTTACATGACTATATACCATCAGCTACTGAAAGACTTTATGGCTTTGTGGTCGGTCTTTTCCCCCTTGGGGTACTGGTGCCATTCCCAAACGTTTCCTACACATGATGCCTCAAAGATGCCCGTCAGTACTCAACGTAAATTTAATTATGAGGAGCCATATTTCATATCATTCACGTCGGAGCTTCCTTGTGGCATCGATGCAGCAGCCATCCCCTCTTCACATCCCTTAACAATACATGCTGGCAATCCACTGCACATGCTTGAGTTGCTGGGGGAAAGCGCTTTGGGATTAGAGCCTGGGAAAGGCAGGTGAATGAATGAGGGGCTGTTTAAGTGTCTGGGTCTTTGAAGTGCACTTATGCACCGACGGCTCCCATTTGTCTGCGGGACGCGGCCATCGAAGTCGTTGTCAACACTTTTTCACAGCGAAACGTTACCTGCGGGACAAATCTGTCAATCAAAGGGGGCAGGGACATATAAATATCATCGGCGAGGAGTCCGGCCAGAACATCGGATGCCCTCCTACTCTTGCTCTCTCCTGGCACTCACACCCCGGATACAAACGCACAGGGATCCGTTTGGAATACGGCTGCTATGCGACCTTTGAATCTCCATCCAGCCATGGTTCTGTCCATGTGCTGCCATGTCCACTTCGCATTAGCGTGGTATGTGGCTTACTTTTGGATTAATTCATATAATCATGCAGTGTGATTAGTGTTTGTCAGTGGTCTTGGATTAACGCGCTGTCTTGTTTTCTTCCTATAGGACGGTGAATAATTTCCTTATGACTGGACCTAAGGTAAAAAGAAGATATACTTTTGCTTCATTTGTCCATCTACTGAGCATAACATTTATTCTGTAAATTCAAAAATATGGATTGATTTCTTAAATATCTAATGTTCCCTTTTTCGCTCCCAAGGCTCTTCTCACCTATGCTGGCAGTGTGCAAGTTGGCGCACAGAATGGAATACAAGAGTGTAAACACCAGTTCGCGTTGGAGAGGTGGAACTGTCCGCAAAATACCCGCCAGTTATCCACACAAAACGGCATTCGAAGTGGTAAGGTATAAATATTCATACTTAAGTTACCGGTTGGAACCACATTTATTAAACACCAAACACAACACAACATTACTTTTACATGCTTTTACGCACGGTTTGCGCGTCTTTACGCGCAGTATTTGAGCGATACAGTTTGCACTGTGGCTCCAAATTGGATGTGTGATTATTTTTCTTTCTCACCTCTTGTAGCCACAAGGGAGACGTCTTTTATCCATGCGATCAGCGCAGCAGGAGTGATGTACACGCTCACCAAGAACTGCAGTATGGGAGACTTTGACAACTGCGGCTGCGATGACTCAAGAATTAGACAGACAGGTACGGTTCGAACATCTATTAGACATGCCTGGTTTCTTTACAGTTAGAACTGTTATCACATGACTTTTCCTTCTGAGAACGGAATGTCCATTTTTTAATCCAACAGGTGGTAGAGGTTGGATTTGGGGAGGCTGCAGCGATAACGTGGCGTTTGGAGACAAGATCTCTAAACAGTTTGTGGACGCGTTGGAAAGTGGGCACGACTCGCGCGCAGCAGTCAACCTGCATAACAACGAGGCAGGCCGACTGGTAAGATATGCATTCACTATTAATTTGTTATTTTATTAAGGGATGTGTTTCAAATGTAAACAAGTATACGAGGAAAATGCGCTGTCTTATATTAGGGTCATTTACGCACGGGCAGAGAAAGTTGTGCATTCCCTCACTAATACTCTCGTTCTCTCTACAGGCCATCAAAGCTACAATGAGGAGAGCGTGCAAGTGTCACGGAGTGTCTGGGAGCTGCAGCATCCAGACCTGCTGGATGCAGCTGGCCGACTTCCGAGAGGTGGGGAACTACTTGAAGGGGAAGCACGAACACGCGAGGAAGCTGGAGATGGACAAGAAGCCGGCGAAGGCCGGGAACAACGCGGACAACCGAGGGGCCATCGCGCAAGCCTTTCGCAGCATCGCCCGCACGGAGCTCATCTACCTGGAAGACTCCCCGGATTACTGCGTCAAGAACCGGAGCCGGGGGTTTCCGGGAACCGAGGGGCGCGAGTGCCTGAAGGGAAACAAGAACATGTCCCAGTGGGAGAGAAAGAGCTGCCGCCGGCTGTGCTACGAATGCGGCCTCCAAGTGGTGGAGAAGCGCATCGAGGTGGTCAGCAGCTGTAACTGCAAATTCCACTGGTGCTGCACAGTGAGGTGCGACAAATGCACGCAAGTTGTGACAAAATATTATTGTGCACGTAAAGAAGGGGGGAGAAAACCGCAGAATAAAACCAGGCGCAGGCACCGTGCAAAGGGCAGGCACTGACGTTATCCATGACATCGTCAACATACATCATCACTCGATCAAGGAGCATTATTCTGTACTGTATATGTTGTTTTCCACCACATCACCTGAAGCCTTTTAATGCACTTGATCTAAGCTATTTGATCCTATAAATCACGGGATGTACTTTTGGAGGACCAAACTCTTTCGTTTCGAGCAATTTGTTGCGTCCGACTTCTGTGAAGTCTGAAATGTTGCATCCTTGGAGATGTTTTATTAATTGAAAATGTTACCTAATAAACCTTATTTGTTGTAGAATACGCATGAGTCCAACTGATTTGTGAGTGGCAGACGTTTGTATATTGGTGCCATGGTGTAAGAAATAAATTAGTAGCCGATATTGCCATCCTTTGATGTGCGCATATAGGCGTTTCCTGAACTCGTCAACCAATCAGCTGTCTCGGGCCTCGGGGACAAAGAACAAGAATTTCCATTTGTTCCTCATTCAAATAAAGAAGAGAAGAGAAAGTTGCGGCACACGGGGCCAAAAAGATCTCTGCTTGGAGGGACATCTCTGGAGGCAAAAATGGTGCCTGCATTTTTTTGGCTGCTACCTATTTTATACAAAACGGGACATGCTTGGTAAGAGACTATATGCTATTTACCAGTATCTTCTCCGTGTGTGTATGTCGTGTGTTTGTGTGTCAACCTACATTGGTCTCACTCTTTGCAATCTTCCCTCAGGGTGGCAAGTAACTTTCTTATGACGGGACCTAAGGTAAATATAAATTAGCATGACCAAGTTTAGGATACCGTTTGGAAATGTGCGTCGGACCGACAGAATGACTTTGCCTCTCCCGCAGGCCCATCTCACCTACGCAAGAAGCGTGCAGGGGGGCGCACAGACGGGGATCGACGAGTGCAAACACCAGTTCGCGTGGGACAGATGGAACTGCCCCGACTCCGCCACCCAGCTCAAAGGACTAAAACTCGGTAAGTGAATAATAAAAAATACAATCATGCGCGGCAGGTCCTCAAATACAGAAGAAACCTGTCGTTCGTCAAACGTGTCAAGAACGAACAATGACCATATAAGATGTGTTAACAACAAAAAGGCTGAGTTTTTTATTTGCGTGCATAAAACGGGATGGCTCTTTTTTTTCTCTCTCTCTCTCTCTCTCTCTCTCTCTCTCTCTCTCTCTCTCTCTCTCTCTCTCTCTCTCTCTCTCTCTCTCTCTCTCTCAGCCACGAGGGAGACTTCTTTCGTCCACGCCATCAGTTCCGCGGGGGTCATGTACACTCTGACCAGGAACTGTAGTCTGGGAGACCTCGACAACTGCGGCTGCGATGTCTCCATGAACGGGAAGATCGGTGAGCTTCTATGAGGAAAAACACACTAGACTGTAATCTCGTGCATACTGTGCGCAAAAAAACGTTTATTAATTATTTATTTGTACAACTACAATTGAAGTAAATGGGTTTGTGGGTACAGGCGGTCGCGGCTGGCTGTGGGGCGGCTGCAGTGACAACGTGGATTTCGGAGAGAGGATCTCCAAACAGTTCGTGGACGCGCAGGAGACGGGGCAGGACTCCAGGGCTGCTGTCAACCTGCACAACAACGCAGCAGGGAGGCTGGTAAATCACGTTCGCGTGCGCGCGCGCACACACACGCCTGTTATCTGTTATCTCACCTCACGTCACCTGGACTCGTTGTCAGCAGCTGACTTTCTACGCTTCTAACAGGCCGTGAGGGCAACGATGAAGCGCATCTGCAGGTGTCACGGCATGTCCGAGAGCTGCAGCGTCCAAACCTGCTGGACGCAGCTGTCCGATTTCAGAGAAGTCGGCAACTACTTGAAGCTCAAGCACGCGCAAGCCCAAAAGCTGGACGTCGACAAGAAGCGCATGCGCGCCGGCAACAGCGCGGTCAACCGTGGCGCGTTTGTGGACGCGTTCGCCGGCGTCGCGCAGACGGAGCTCCTCTACCTGGAGGACTCGCCGGACTACTGCAGGACGAACGCCAGCATGGGCCTCCACGGCACCGAGGAGCGCGAGTGCGTGCAGCACGGAGAGGGCCTGACCCCGTGGGAGAGGCGCAGCTGCCGCAGGTTGTGTCACGAATGCGGCCTGCGGGTGGAGGAGAGGCGCACGGATGTGGTGAGCAGCTGCAACTGCAAATTCCACTGGTGCTGCACGGTGAACTGCGACGACTGCTCTCAAGTGATCGTGAGACACGTGTGCTCCCGGAGGGAAGGCGCGGACGGGAAGGGCCTCAGACGGAGATACCGTGCACACAAGTGAAAGACATTCAATAAATAAAAAGATACATATATATGTGTGTGTATATATAGAGAGAGATGTATTACCTGTCAACATCACATTGAAGTCTGCTAAAATAATGTCTGTTTGCACTTGTTCTATTTATGAATAATCTGTTGTGTTTAATTAAAATAAAAGCTTATCAACAAAGTCTTCTCCTCACTTGGTAAATTCCCCGGGTTCCTGAATTTTATGACAGGGCCCACAAGTGTCTATTAGAATAAGAATGGGGCGAATACACTTAACAGGGGGGATTACATGGATAACATGGTGGAGTTTGCACCTATCCAAGTTGCTGATCCAGCATTGATCCACTATCGCTTTGATGTCAACGTGTATTGATGCCGTTCAAAGAGCAGCGAGGCTTTGAAAGACAATAGGCATTTCCCTCCGCTATGGCAGTAACTATTTGGCCTTATAATCCGTGACACCTCAGCCTACACTGCCTTTGTCGCGTACCAAGGCCAATGTATCACAATGCATCAAAGCTACGAGGGCTGCACCGAATGGCGCCAAACTGTGCTGTTTCTCAGCAAAGACGTTGAAATCCAAAATACTGCAGTGTTATGTGAGGCCACCGTTCTGAAAGAGCGCAACTCAGGTACCACCTCGAAAGCCAATACATTTAGAATCTTATAATTTGCGAGTAATTAGGCCTGAGAGAAGCCTCGTCTCCGCCCACCCGGCCCCTCTTCATCTGAAGAGCCATTCATTTGGCTCCTTCCACCTCCTCTACCCCCTGTATCTCCAGAAATCTTCCTCCCAGCTGGACGTGTCATAAATCCGCCACGGCCTCAGCTAAATGACTGATGGCATGGGTATTACCTTCGTTAGGGAGGGGGGGTCATGCCTGGGGGGTTAGGGGTGGGGGTTCTTGGAAACATGGCTGTTTCCCTAAATTTACAGAGCAGTTACTGCGGGAGCAGTGAAGAGGGAGATTTTGGTTATAAAGTCACCTATTACTTTACTACTACTACTACCACATGACTTTAGGTTATTCAGTATTTATTCCAATATGCACCATTTGATTGCTGTATTGTTAACGGTTAGTAGAAACGGTCATATTTAGAGGCATGGTGTTATTCAGTGTTGGTACAAACATACATATGTATGTATGTGTGTTCGTAAATAGCTGCATTACTATTTCTGTGGACTGAGAAAAACAAAAATCGCTGGTATGTGTGCTCATACAAAGGTGTATCTGACAAACTACAGATGAGCACAAATTAGCTCCAGGAAGTCCCTAATAAAAGAAATCATACAAAAAGCTTTAGAAACACAAGAGTAGAGAATAAAATGCGAGAAACCAAAACTACAAACAATTAATTAAAAAAAAGAAAGAAAGCATGAGTGAGAAGCAACAAGTAAGACTGTCACAGATCAAAACACTGCCTCCCACCGTTGCCATTTGCCTGTGTGCTTCTGGGGATGTCTTGTATTTCCCATGGTGCCCCGCTGTGCGTTAATGAAGGTTTGTCCCCCACTGGAAGCCCTCACCGCTACGCCCCTCCTCTCCGCTCTCCACTGAGCATTATTGCTTCTATATTGCTCCATGATGCGGCTGAATAACACTGTTTTACCTCAAACGTGTCATTTCTAGAAGAAGTTCACTTCTCTATCCCGCTTAGACACCATTTTCAAACATTTCACTTCGTCAAAATAAATGAAGATCATCTCAGTGCTTTGTTCAAAGACAGAGAGGGGGGGGGGGGGGGCGATCTCCCACAGAGACCCCCCAAGAGGACTCATGTATTCACCAAGACATGCCTTTGGGGGGGAGTGATTGATCATCCCTCCTCTCTGCTGCCCTCCTCTCTCACCTTGGTGTGAGACACCGACGGGCTGGGATCCAAAGGCCCGGCCCGGCCTTCCACAACACCGTCTTGTGAATTAGAATGATGAGCACACATGAGAGCGTAACAACACAGCTCACATCTGTCAGCGGCAACATTATAGCCCACGCATGTGAATACAGCTATTATTATACAGTTAGAAGAGCACGTCAAATACACATTAGGCCTTTTTTTAGATCCAAGCATGTAAGTAGTTTCAGAAATCGGCATCGGACATTAAGACGGTCACACACACAAGTTTGAGCAAACAATAACCGTCTCATGCATGAAGGTGCATGACAGGAAATCAGTCGTCTCTATGTTTAGAGAAGGAAATACCGATATATAATTCATATCACGTGCTTTCACTTGTCATATTTAGTGTTCATCTGTCAACAGCTCGAGTGTGGTGAAGAGTTCCACAGCAACAGTTCCGTGAGCCCGCTGAAGGATACGCGTCGCTTTCGTGGATGTGAAAAGTTTGCGAGACGAGCATGAGTTTGAGCGGCGCTCCCTCTAAAGCGGAGGTGATGGGATGGGGCCCCGTGAATCTGGCCAATTACATGGGCAAGGTGAGTATCGAAGCTGCTGTGGTTCCCTTTCTGTGGTGCCAAGTTCTTATAACTTATTCAAATATATGGCTTGAGCGGTGTGGGCAGCGCTTAAGCATTTAATGCATTAATACATTTTTATAACAGTAAAGCTTCAAAATTGAACTGAGCTTCTGTAACATTTCGACATGGGGTTGTTGTGGCGCAGGGGTTAGAGAAGGTGTGCTGGGAAGCACAAGGTGGTTGGTTCGAGTCCAGGCTGCCCCATGTTCCATGTCGAAGTGTCCCTGAGCAAAACACCTAACCCCTAATTGCTCCCCGGGCAAAAATGTGAAAAAAAGCCATGGGTTTAAAATGTAATGTAAGTCGCTTTGGATAAAAGCGTCTGCTAAATGACCTGTAATGTAATTTCAATTCAGTTATATAACTCCAAACGTAGAGGTAAAGTTGATTCTACCGCTCTGTCTCACGTCTTCCCAGCTCAAGCTATCAGGCTGTGACAAATATGTGTTGAAGCAGCGCATAAGTGGAGCCTGGTTCATGGTATGTATATCTACATCTCTGCAGGCCTTTAGTATTGAGGATTTTGTCTTTAATATTCATATTCTACACCATCCAGGAAATGAGTGTGAATGACCTTCAAGCGTTTCCCAGCCTTTATGTCCCGTGAGTCAGACTGAAAACCTATTTATTTCACTGCCACAGAGTATTCCCACCGCAAGTATTGTTTTAAAAGAAGAGGACTTTTATCTCTGCAGATTGGTTGCAAAGATTCAAAGTGAAATCAACAAGGGGGATCAGAAGAAGGCCATTGGCGATTTGTAAGAACTACTTTTCACATTACGGCTTGTATCAAAACTGAAACTGAACTGAACTGAAACTGTAAAAAAATACAATTTATAACGTTATCATTTCATTGTGCAGATCAGAGGCATCAAAGAACCCGAAAAAAGGTAAAGGAGACTTGGGTTACGACATGCTGCCGATATCGCCATCTTTCCTTGGGTCTGATGACACCCTTCTTTGACGCTTTGTTTTACAACAGCTGTTGTTCAAGAACAAGACGACTGGGCCTCCGATGAGTCTGTGAGTACAACACAAGTTTATTAACGAAAAAAATACAGCATGAAACCAAATTCAACAAATGAAGTGACACAGAACGCAAGGAATAGATCACCTCTGGGCTCTGTGTGTGGCAGGACGATGGAGGTGATAACGACTATGAAGATGGAGGGGAAGGCGGCTACATCTGTGCTGTGACCGAGCCACAAGACAACGAAGATACCTACGAAGTGGCCATCAAGACCTTCCCCTCTGCAGACACGAGGAAGGCGCCCCAACGTCCCAGAGAGGTTACGCTTCAGGACGGCCTCTGCAGAGGTGACACTAAGCAACCCAAATATATTCGCTTCTCTCCCTGCCTCGCTCGGCATGTTCCGAACATACATAAAACTATTAAAACTCTCGTGTCCGTGTGGGCGAGCAGATTCTGTTCACGGGGTGGTCCCTGCTGGGAAGACCAAGAAACCTCCACTGCCCTGTCGCCCGAGGAAGAAGCTGCCGCCCCCGAGGCCTTTCAGACCACCAGGTGACCGTAGATTTACAGACTTCACAGACACTTGACCTACTGGTGATGATGTGGAGGAACTAATCCTTTTGTGACACGTGTCGTCCCACTCCGAACTTCAGCCGGCCCGCCAGCCGGCCCACCAGCCGGCCCACCAGCCGGCCCACCAGCCGGCCCACCAGCCGGCCCACCAGCCGGCCCACCAGCCGGGCCACCAGCCGGCCCACCCACTCTACCCAACGAAAGGAGCGGGAAGGGCAAACCATCCGGACCATGCGGCCCATCGCAGGCAGAGCTCCCACAGCCAAGTATGTGCTGCTTAATACGAACTGTCTAGGGGCAACTGTACCGGTTAAATATTGCTGACCACGTTTGATGTTTTGCACTATCCGTCATGTCCACCAGAGAGCAGCGCTGTCATGGCTAATGTCTCATCACCGAGCGATATCCCCAAACCAAGGTTCCCCAAACCCACAGATGTGCCCAACAGGTAGGCAAAGCTAAACAATTCAAGGAGGAGGTAATGAGATCCCTACGGCTAATCCGATGATGCTCCATTTCATCTGTCCACTCCCAGAGAAGGCAAAGTCCCCCGGGTTCCTGCCGTGCCACCACAGCCTGATGAGGTGAACAACTCGATACCAAGACAAAGTATGGTGAGAAGCAAAAGAGGAGTCACAATCCAGCCGTGACTTCCATTTACATTCTTTTGGATACTGAGCAAAAATGATACCACCGGGGAGAACTGCACACTTGAAGTATTATCAGTCGTTCAACAGCAGATGGCGTCGTTGTAAAAAGAAAAGCAGGCTGGTGGAATCCTCATGTCTGCTCTGAAGGGATTCACATTTTATTCGTCGGACTTGGGGTTACATTTTATTCCCAACAACAATAATGAAAAACGCATTTTGTGTCACAAAGAGATAAATGAGGACGGGCGAACCGCTTTGTGTCGTCCTTACGGCGCCTGTCTTGTTGTGTTGCGTCCAGGCTTTGGATCCCAGCTGGTACCACGGGAAGGTGACCAGACTTCAGGCAGAAGTCTCCCTCAGAGAGGTGAACAAGGTCAGGTGCTCACCCAGCTTCTCTCTGGAGGACACACACACAGAACATGCAGCAGAAATTTACCCGGGATTTATTTGCAATATCTTGTTAAACTGAATATGTGGACTTTTTGTTTTTAGGACGGGGCGTTTGTGGTGAGGGACAGCTCGCGTGGCATGAATGAGCACCCCTACACCCTGATGCTGCTCAAGGGAGGCAAGGTTTACAACATTATGATCCGTCGCCAGGGCAACTCCTATACCCTCGGCAGTGGCTTGAAACAGACCCGGGTGAGCTGGAAATGCTGATGCCATCAAAAAGTGGTTTTAAAAATGTTTTCACTTCAAATAAACGGAAAAGCTCACATCTTGTGGCGCGCCTCGGGGCTCATTAGATGCTGACTTGTGCCTCATCATTGGATTCCTGACATGTGTTTGTATGTCTGTGTGTCGCCGTGCTGCAGAGTTTCCCCGGGGTGAAGCAGATGATTGACCATCACACCAACACCCCACTGCTGCTCCTCGAATACACGAACCGGAGCGCTGATTCGCAGAGCTGGTGCTGCCTGCTGCACCCTCCGAGACTTTGACCGTCACCATGCAAAATGTGGGGGGGGGTTGTAATGTTGTTTGTATGTTTTAGTGAACCGAATGAGAGAAAATGAAATATTTTGGACCACGGCCGATGCTTTTGCACCGAGATGCGTTCGCTCAGCCTTTACCTCTGTTCTCCACATGCTCCAGGGTTTCAGGTCCGGCTGGGGGCTGCTGCTTCAGCGCCTGCTGGCTTTTCAGAAAACGCCGGCTGGTCGGGGGGCCCAACGCAAACGATCAGGTCGCATTGCCTCAGCTGGGTTCGCACTGCGGGCAGAAAACCTGTTTTCACTGGTGCCTCGGGCCAACTCGCTTCTAAGGTGTCCCCAAGTCACGTGTCAAAAGATATATACGGTTCCACACCAAGTGGGGAAGTGCTCAACAGAAACTGGTCAGCTCAACATTACCTGGATGTTAAACTTGGATAGATACTTTTTTATTCATTGTATAAATCTGACCCCAAAACATAAGTTCATAGCCTGAACAGTATAAATTGTCTTTTATTTTAAGAAAAATGTGAATTGTTATATTCAGTATGTTGTGAGTTCATGTTAAGAAACACAGAATTAATAAAATGTAATAAAAGCAGCGTGCATGCTAAATACGTTTGATCACTGAGTGAACTGTTGGTGAACTAAATGGTTCCATAATGAAAAAAGAGAAGCTCCCAACAGATGAAACTATCAAAACAATTTGGGGAACAGACTAAATTAAATGACATGGGCATCGCCCAGGGCGAAAAAAAAGGACAAGTTGCAACTTAATGCCTCGCATGAAAGCGACAAGCATGTGAGTGAAATCCTTCCGTTACTCCTATCTGCCCATCAGCAGAGTACCCTCTGACAGACCTCATCATGTAGCATCTTCCAACCACTGACATCTACAAGCAAAGGCTAAGTTGAGCAGCAGTTGGTGTGCAGGAATCCGATTTGGTTATCACATTTCAGATCTAGGATAACAGTTGCATCACACGCTTTGCATATTTGCAAATCGATCATCAAGCTCGTCTTGCGTTGGATTGCATTGGGGATGTAAAGGCAGCGGATTGGGGAATAACAAATACATGCCATTAGATCCATGCAGTTGGATATGGACTCCAGATCAATGCAGGGCTTTGAGGTGCCTCGTCCTGTGTTCCCCTCTGTGTTTTCCATCTGGAAAATAATGACATAAGAACAAAGCGGACTATTTTAACTTTGAATATACTACGGAGTCTCACAAACTTGTAATGCTATACTAATTTCCAAGTAAAACATTAACATCAAAGGACATTGAATAGGCCCTGCACATTAAAATGGGTGGCAGCAGTGTGATGAAACACATTAACGCTGCCGTTAATATTTCCATCGTTTGTAAAGATCTGCGTTTTGAAGGTTGAAAATGGCCCGACGGGTCCTCCGCCTCCACCGATTAGAATCAGCCCTGGAGGTTGAAGGAGGACGCTGACAGATTTCACCATTTAGTGCTTATCTACATGTCCTGAGATCATTGGTAAATATTGGTACCTTAGAATAGTTCTGGGGGAAGTTGCACCTTATTACATCTCCAAAATGAGTAACGTGTCTAAATATACATATACATATATAAAAGAAAACACCACAGAAGACATTCTCACTTTATATATTTTTTTATTATTCAATCAAACAGGCTTAGCCATCAGAGTACTTTATAACCCAAAACATCATAGTGTATAGCATGCCGCACCATGACCATGTGAATGCATAAAATGACACGACTGACACAAATACTTTATATAGCCACATATTAAAATAGGAAAATGAAGACACTCCTCATATATTAAAGCAATAATGATAACAAATATGGGCTATCACAGCATACACAATGGCTTCTGTCTTGGTGCGAGCACTTGAGATTTTTTGAGCTGTCACCGAATCTGGGAAAATCTTTCTTAGCAAACCAGATGTGCAGTCCATTGATCTGTAGCTGTTGTGATGCTTTATTGTATGAAAAGCAAGGGTACCCTCTGCAGCCGTAACAGAAGTGTCTGTTTTACTCACAAAAAATGTCACTTTACTCAATGAGCTCTCTCCTCTTGCTGCAGTTTTGTGTTTTGCAGAGTGCACGTGAGCTTCCAAATCGTTGCCACCTTTATTTGCCACTGACACGTAAGTGCCTGCTCTGCATGTCATTCACTCAGCTTCCGAAGCATTACGGCTGAGGCGAAAACATGGGTAATTTTTTTTAGTTCGTCCGTAAACTTACATTTACGTTTCGGCATGGCTGCAGATGTCATGTGCTGTAAACAATGCAACTAGTGGAGGCGGCAAAGTGCTCAGTGTTGTATGGTGAAGTATCGTGCCAGGCTCAAAATGGTCGTATTTGGAGGATAATTATCCTGTATCTGGCAACGTTGAGATCGGTCGACCAATGACTGTTCTCTCTACAGTCTCTCTACAGAGCTCGCGCAAGAAGGTGGAACGTAAGGGAGAAACCATTTCCAAAACTTGTAAGGGCGTAATAACTAGTTTGTTAAAGACCCAGAGAAACACAAATATCCGACGAAGCAAAATCCCGGACGTTTTTGGAATCCCTGCCGGACGCATTTTTTAGGTCTCATTTTTAAGTCCGGGGAAAAGAGGACGTCTTGTCACCCTACGTTTACAGACATTTTTTTTTTTTTGGAGAGGAAGCTCGTTTAACACGAGACAAAAGTTAACGTTACACACCTGAGCTGCTTCTATACTGCTCCCCAATAGGTTGTTCAGCTTAAACAACTGGTCGAAGGCGTCCTGCGGTCGCTCGGAGTGCGAGGGCGTATCGGCCATCTGAAGTACAAACCGTGTTTTTATGAGCCGTTAGCTCGTCACATTAGCTGCTAGCTAGCTTAACCAGAGTAACGGTCGAGTTGCGTTAAGACGATTCTGCCAAGAAGAAATGCACCATCGAGAAGCAATAGCTGACATTTAAATCATTAGTTCATGGGGTTAAATAGATATTATCTCTGTGGTGGAAATGCGCAAAACTTACGATAGAGGGCCTGTCTTCTTAGTTAACTTACTGTGAAATAGAAAGTCCTCGCGCTGACTGGGAAAAGAACCCGCCAATGCGCATCCTCGTTTTTTTCTCGTAATGATGTAATTAACTTATTTTCACCCCACTACACGCTTATTTAATTAAATAGATGTATATTTCAATATATCAATATCAATATATATATTGATTTTGCTTCGTCGGATATTTGTGTTTCTCTGGGTCTTTAGCTGTTTTTGTTCATTATGCTTAAATATCTCTCTGCTTCATGAAAAATATTGATGCAATTTTAAGATAATGCATATACATGTTAATGTAAAAATATGATCCATAATTAAATAAGATAAGGTCACAAAATGGTTGGGGTCCTGACGGAGAAGATTGTTTTTCTTTAGAAAGACTAAACTGCAGAACTGACCAGAAAATAGTTTTATTTAAATTAAATGTATATTCTAAATTGTATCATTGTCTTTAAATCTACCTCATTATTACAGACAGATGACTAAAGTCAATTAACGTTGAAGTAACAGCTTAAGTAGAAAATGATTTAATCGAAGGTGCACAAAACCCCCTGAGGAAGTGAACCAGCTGACAGTAGGAAAAAAACTGAGAGAAAACAGGAAAAGACTTCTCACCTGAGAAAACAGCCAATCAAACAAGGCAAGGGGCGTTTCCAAAAACAGATAAAGCAGGTATGAGAGGTGACATCTTGCCATAAAGCAAGGGCAAACCGACCAGAGAGGGGTGGAGAAGAGTAGCTTACCACTTTGAAGTGACGAGGCCACCATTTGGATCAGCTCACATTCAAATACCAGCAAAGGTTCGACAAAGAGAAGGACTTTTTTGGGGAATTGACACAAGTGGTAAGAATAGATTTCACAATGTCTTCGTTCGAGGCCCAGAGGCAGTCTCCTCCTCGGTGTGGCCCCCAGTTCCCCAGCCTCGGTCAGGAGCCCCCTGAGCTCAGCATGTACAGTGACTGTTACTACCCACCTCCGTCGCTGCCAAGTCCTCAGCGCACCGCTCCGACCTCCTACGACCTCAGCGAATACACCACCTCCTCCCCGAACCCCTACCTCTGGTTCAACGGCTCTGGGATCAACACGCCGCCATACCTTGCTACCACTGGCCCGCCCGGTAACCCCGGCCCACCGTTCGTCCCTCAGCACTACGGCATTCAGAGACCATACCTGGGTCCCGCTGGAGCTGGGGGTTCGGGAGGGGAGCTGAGCTGGTTCTCTCTCCCCTCCCAAGAAGACCTGATGAAACTGGTTAGGCCGCCGTACTCCTACTCGGCTCTCATTGCCATGGCAATCCACGGAGCACCGGACCGGAGACTGACACTGAGTCAGATCTATCAGTATGTGGCTGACAACTTTCCTTTCTACAACAAGAGCAAAGCGGGCTGGCAGAACTCCATCAGACACAACCTGTCACTCAACGACTGCTTCAAGAAAGTACCCCGAGACGAGGATGATCCAGGTAACATTTTGTCTTTGGTGTGTTATTGGCCCTGTTTTGAATAGAAAGAGTACTTTAATCCACTCAACTTCCATGTACGGTTTGTGTTGAACGTGCTGTTTTCTCCCGCCACAGGCAAGGGCAACTACTGGACACTGGACCCCAACTGTGAAAAGATGTTTGACAACGGAAACTTCCGTCGCAAAAGGAAGAGGAAGTCCGACTCCCTCACTGGCCCCGACGGCGGCTCGGGGGCTCCAGAGTCGTGCGACAGTGAGAGGGAGAGCCCCAAACACTCGACCGCCCTGAACATCTCTCCCACGGCGGACAGGATCCCCTCCCCTCCATCGTCGGGCCCGGCGCCCTGCCTCAGCAGCTTCTTATCCGAGATGGCCGGCGTGACGAGCGGAGCGGCCGGCGGGGTCGGAGCCGACGGGCTGAGCAGGCCACTGCAGATCAACCTGCCATTGGACGGGCCTCACAGACCCACGCAACCCGGAGGCTATGGGAGCTACTCCCCCAACTCAGGCGCCCCGGAGTGGGCGCCACAAGGGCCGGCTCCCACAGCGCTCTCTGCTTCACCCACCCACTCCTCCCTCGGCTACGGTAGCCCCATCCTCAACCAGTACAGTGGGTCCAGTGGGCATTTCTACGCAACGCTGGGCTCGACAGGAATCATCTACCATCGCGAGGGCACGGAGGTTTAATGGGACAATAAGGGGGGGATAAGTTTGGGTTGGAAAAAGACTTTGACGGGAAATGTCACCTTGTCTGGTCACTTTTGTCAAAGGGAGAGGTTCGGTTGGGAATGATGACACACACATACAAAAATACACAGTGATCGCGCTGACGGGGACAGTTGAGGTTCACTATAGCGTGGGACAGACGAGTAAGAAAGGCTTCGACTCCCACAGTAAGAGCTGAGTCAGCCACATCGGGTGTCACTCCCTAAAACCGCAGTCAGCCCCGCTATCAGATCCTCAGTCAGCTTTTACTCGAGCTAAAGCTGGTCTCTATCAGATCTGAGTCATTAATAACAGATCCTGGATCTGATCTGCTGACATCAGGTCGTTTCACACTGCTATCTGTGATTCTTTGATGGTATCACCCAAGCAACAACGCTCAGACAGCACATTTGGAGGAGTAGTTAATTACACCATTGTCTATGTATTGGACGTGTGCAGGAACTAAAGGAAGGTGAAAGCTAGATGTTTGTTAATGTTTTTGTAGAACTGAAACTTAAATAATCTAATCTAGTCTGTTAGTCTTTGTTTTTGCTTTGTAAATATGTCAAAGTGTTGTGTGACGTTACGCATTTATATTGTTGGTTTGTTGGTACAACTGTTATTGTATAAATTTGATTCATAATGAACGGTACACAGTGTGCATTGTGTTTTTGATATGAATAAAAGGTTTTAGAGTTCTACACTTGTGTTTCTCAATTAATTTTTATGGAGAATAATTATTAGTCTGATTCCTTTCAAACAACTAACTCTCATTTGAAGAAAACTAACACAGGAAAGAAGAAAAGCAAGCCAATAAGCAATCGCTGACAGAAAACAGACCTGTCAGAAAATTGATGACCAGCAGAGTAGAACCTGCATGTCGGTGTAACACGATCTGTGTGTGATGGATAGTTAACTGATTCTCCAAAACGTTCCCATGTCCGTCTGCGACACAAAACCACACACAATATTCACACACTGCTGACTCGTTCCAAGAAGCGTCACTTGGGGAGAGGAGGAATCCTCCTGAACAAATAAAGCCTTTAAAGATGCTGAAGTTGGAAATAAAAACATTGGCTCAACTAAAAGGAAACTGACCGGTTTTATTTAAAGTTTTTCAACATTACAGATAGTTAAGAGCATGGAAGCAAACCAAGAACAGTCCGCAGAAGCAATACGTTTACTTTAAGTCAAACATCAAAACTTTATTGCCACAAGCACAAATAAACAGGTCTGTGCTGTACAAAGAAATCTATAGGCGGCGTTCTTCTCTGACTGCGATTCATAAAGAAAAGAACACAAATAGAATAAAAACAGTCATATATTAGATATTTAAAAAGTTAGGAAAATAAATAGGCAATAATACCAACACATTCAATGTATGTGTGTAAATTCAGATGGAACAGGCGTGTTAATAACAAGTAACAAGTCACTATTTTGCTCTCTGTTGTGTCTGGATACAGCAATCATAATCAGCAATCATAATCGATGCAGCAATATAAAATTATTCACTTTCCTTTTTCAGCATCTGGAACACATAGTCCAATTTTATATTTCACTTTAAACCATTTCAATTGGTAATAACTATTTGTTTTATAATAATTTATTTTTTCATTAGTTATCTTGCACATAGCATTTTATTTATGTAAATACATACAAATCCTTTGATCGGGATCAGCCTGAGGCCTGTATTTACCCTGAAACACAGGCAGCATGACAGTATTTTACACTAAACACAGAAAGAAACCAAGTGGAATTGAACATCTTGGCACAATTGGGAAACAGTCAGTGGTTGAAGGTTAGAGGGTCATCCTCTCACAATTTGCATAACTGATTTAAAGAAAAGTGTTAACAATCAGGTTGCGTTTAGATGGGTCATAAAGCCACGTGATTTCAATGTGTGAGATGCCTGTGCCTTATAAACCCCAGGAGTGATACATTGAATACCGGCCATGCCAAAATCATATGCAAATAGATGATATTTTTCCTGAGACAGCAAGCCTACAAAGCGGATCATGGGCTTTATTTGAAAGGCACAGCGAAAGGAGCGGGAGATAAGCAGAGAGGAGGGAGACAAACGCGAAGAAGCAAAGTAAATATCAGAATATCACTGTCCCGACATGTCGCACCTCCTCCCCACAATGCCCGGCCCTTGTTTTTTTGGGGGGGGCTTTGTCTTCACATCTCCAGGTAGAGAGCAGAGGTGGTCTCGCGCCTCGCGCCTCGTTCCTTTTTTTTTTTTTTTAAGCTGCCAACCCCGGAACGTTGCAAAGTTGCCCTCTGTGTGACTTCATTAACAGCTCGGCCCCCTTCTGCCTTCGTATTTCAGACAGTTTCAAATTGATGCAAATTTGCAGCCGTTAATCACGTCGTCAAGGGGCTGACAGGGTCAGGGGGGAAAATGCAGCGTTGCAGATGGAGCTCTCCAGATAAGAAACGGTAGAACCTGACGGGTTTACCTGCCCGGCTCCCTGAAACCAAAATCAAATTGGCTTTTTATTGAAACAATGTATGTTTCGGATATTTTGGAACTCCCCTAATCTGCTGATTGCGTAATCTTTACTTGGACAGAGCTCAAATACCCTTTCAAGCGCTTTGAAACTTGTTATAGAATCAAATGCTTGTACCATTTTCCTCCTGGCATTTCTCCTCACCTCCTAATCTTTTCTTTTTCTTCCAGACAGAACCACTTCAAGGGCTCCACCGTTAGATCACATCACAGTGCATTTGGTTACAAAATGAAGCTGTCAGGGGTAGGAGCACTGTCCAAGACACATCTGTCTTTCAGGGCACGCTAGATCCTCGATGATTCAGGGATACCCAAAGACAGCATCCATCAATCACAAGTGACTGTAGCTGTGGACCGTCTTGGCTTCTGGCGGGAGAATTATTGCTCAACAGAGTGATGTGATTAAAATCTATAAATCCTCCACTCCACCTGCCGCCCGGCTCGTGGCAGTCTTCCACACACCTGTCAAGCTAACGGAACACCGCCACACCCCGCCCCCCCCCCGCACAAACACCGTCTGTGTGTGTGTTTGGTGTTTATGTTGTAAACTCAGACCTGAGCTACACCAGAGCCGGTATGAAGGAAAGATTTGTGTGTGTCTCAGAAGTGTCCCGATTATTGCGATTCGGTGAGATTCTCCGCGGCTCGCTGTGGTGGACGAAAGAGTTCGTCGCTCGTCCATCTGCTCAAATAGAAAAAGAGAGGCCCTACTTGACTTTGTACAAGCTATAACCCCAAATACAAGGCTTACTGTCCTGGTGCCAGATCAACCCAAAACACACACACACCTTCTGTATTTACTAAAACAGTCTTGTCCTATCGAGGCTGTTTAGTAAACGGTAGAGCAGAACGTCAGGCCTGGAGACATGCGGTGCTACGGATCTGCATTACAAGGTCGCTGTTGTGTGTAAACATCCCCACACACTCCAGACACACGCATACAGGTGATGAAAGGAATGAAACACCTTGCCTCTTACACGGACGTCATTGGTCAAGCTTTTTGTTTTGTTCTCCCCCAGAGGTCAATTGGAAAACGCTAGAATGCCCACAGTTTGTGACACGCCCGCCTCGAAGTGCTGCCGGCGCGCGTGAAATCCTTTGACAGCTCCCACATTTTGTTCCGAGAAAAAGAACAAACAATGTCCGGCAACATGACCCTTGATCGCCGACGTACAGCAGACTCAGTCCCGGTTTGTCAAAATCCCATTAAAGTTCTCCAGGGAGATGTGTCAAACAGCAGCAGATCCTTCTGTGTGAAACATCTAGGTGTCCCGGGCTGCAGGGGAACGAGGCAGCGAGTGATATCCCCCTTCCTAAACATGGCTTATATACACGATGTGGTGAAAAGAGAAGTTTAAAGACAAACACAGAGCGCAGGGAGACCGTGTGTATATATGAATCATTGCTATTGCCCCCTAAAATATTGTCCATGTCAACATGAAGTAAACGCGGCGATATAAACAGGGCTTTGGGATGAGGGAGGGAAAAGGAGGATGCTTTGTATTGACTGACGGCACACTGAGAATTGAACTTTGTCACAGTTAACCTGATTTGGGGGGCATCGACTGGACATGGTCGGGTTTGTCTTTAGAGCTCGGCGCAATTAATAATGAAGTCCAGAGATTCGGCGCATGGTATCGTAGAGATTAAGCGTGAAGGAACGCGATAAGAATGGCATTTTAAATAAGAGCCTTTCTTTCATTACGGCACTTCAGTTGTTACCTCTGACAATAGGTTGTAGCGACCCAACTAAAACCTGACAGTGAAGCAAAGAGGAAATGTAGCGTCAGTCTCATTTTTATTCTTCTCAGGAGTCTAGATTTAACACCCTTCTAGATGGAAAAATAATCAGAATCCCTCTCTGGGAACTGATGCGAGGCCCAATGCATAGAGATTCCTTGGCAGGCCATTGGAACCACACAGACTTCTACGAGGATGCGTTTTAGCATGCAGGGAGAGGACAGTGTCTGTTCAGCATGCAACACGTGCACCAATGCACTCACATTTGTTTCTATTAGCCAGCTCTAAAACCAGACCAGACAGCGCAAGCTGGATCCACACTGTGTACATTCTGAAGATAGATCGCTCAACAGAGAACCAAAAGAAAGAGAAACATCAACGGCTCAGTCTCCGGTGTCCAAACGTGGCCCCTTGACGTTCAGACCTGGACTGCGAGTGCAGTTTAGCCTCAGGCAGGCGTCAGCATAAGAACTTTCAATGCTCGTGCTATCTTTGTCACTGATTTGTTTCAAACCTGGAAGAAAGTAGTTATTGGGCGCAGTAACACAAACCTCGCTGTGATGTGTTTTGGTTTTCAGGACAACAGCGATGATTGTGTTTTTCCTGAAGAAACGGCTGAGTGAAAGCATCCTCCTAGGACATATTCATAGGCTATTTAAGCCAATCACAGCTTTCAGTTATCTACAGATTTACAAAAGGCTTTGACTCACTTATTCAAATACCATCCATGTCATTTACCCTCTGGTCCAGTTCTTAATGCTGGGTCATCATTATTGACGTAGGTTGGTGCTTGCAGCGTCGACCGGAGCTTCCGAGGGACTCTCCAAGGTGCGTTGGGCTCAGCGTCTTTTTGGAAACACGTTTTCTCATCAGGAGGCTTCCAGAGCCAGAGGGAGAGAAACCCTGTTAAACTATTGCACGCAAGAAGTTGCCTTAATAAGCTCTCGTCATTTGTTTTTTGTGTAACGTTTTAATAGCGAACAGTATAGTGGACTCCTGCCATGTTTTTTTCAAAGGCAAACATGCACCACTGTGAGCAGGTGTCAGAGAATATAGATGACGCACAGGACGGGGTGAGGCTGTCTGTCAGAAGCCACTCTGTGGGTGCCTGGAGGTCACCTCTGACGGGTCATATGTCACACCAACAGTAAACGTCTTGATGAAACTGTTGTTCCTGTCACGCTTGGAGACATGAGACGTGTTAACGTTTCCAGACCCTCATAGGCTGTGTGTTGTGACACACCGCTGTGACTTCTTGGCAAAAACAAAAACTCCACTGGTTAGATGGGTACCGATAGGGATTTCCCTAAAGCTATTCTGTGTATTCGGATTCTGAACAAAAAGAGTTCATCTGAGTCAGAGGCTCTAAAAAAAGTCAGCCGATAAGTTAGCTCGCCAGATGAATGTCAAATAATGCAAGTCATTTATTTATTTATCATTTATTATATTATAAAAGATGCTTTTTTTAAAGCAGTTTGGCTTAGTTGGCTAAACAAACATCTTTTTTCAAATGAGTTTGATACAAATTTGACATCAATATTTGATCAGCTTGTGAGGCCTAACAGGGAGAGTGATTCTTCGTACCCTTGAGCGTTCTGTGGCTGAGAGACAGATTTACGACAGTTGGTTAAACGGTGTAAAAAGGGTTAAGCCCCTCAATCTTCATTGTTCTTGTATTACTTTATAACACCCAACTTTATGACTGCAGGAAACTAGGTGGAGTTAGTTTGGAGTCGGATCTCAGATGAAAAGATTAATAGAAGAAAAAAAAAATCTCCCGATGTGACTGTTGGACTAGAGTCCTCAAGGAGCTTTTCTACCAACAAAACAGTTTGGATAAAGGGGGGGGGCTCCGTAATTCAGGTAAAATCCCCTGTGGAATTTCTTCCGTTTAAATCCTCGTTTCACAACAGTCAGATATGATATAGCAAATCCAAACTACTCGTCTGGAGCAACCTGCCCTGCAGTGACATGTAGAAACAGGTATGTAAAAAGGCAGCTTAATGGTCATTCTACCGCTACAGTTTACACATAGCATTTAAAGATGTCACAATATATGTATACATGTGTAGTGGTGCATGTGGAAGTGTTTATGTTCACAGTGTTGTTTATATAGCCACCAACCATTTTTTTTTTCATTTTGCAGGTTGAATCGCTTTTCATTGACGTCCAGTGACCTGAGAAGTAAAGACAAAATCAATGGGAAATGAATTGGCTGCTTTGTTCTGGTGAAGTGTGGTTTTTGCAAATGTCTGAAGTGGGAAGGTTATCGATCCACTAGAAGACTCAACCCAATTTGTGGGGGCGACATTTTGAGTTTGAGTCTATAAAAAGAATACTTCTATAGTATTCTATTGTATTAGATATGAACTGAGTGGAATAAATAGTATTTGCAATATATAGTACAATCCCCCTGCAGTTTTGTGCTTATTGCAAGATTGAAAAATTGATTCTCAGTCTTGCATTAAGATGCTATTTGGAGCACAGATGCAGGGTTCTACTTTGAAGGCGAACATTTGCTGTTAAAGGTAATTGTTTTTATCAGCCAGAGCTTGTGGACGGACGGTGGGCCTCAATACCCACACTGCACATGTGTGTTATAAAGGATTTAACCTGCACTGCTTTTAACCTTCACACACGCTCACACAGACTTATTTCCATATTGATAGATAGGACAGAAAATGGAGCGGGCAAGGGAGAGGGCAGGATGGAGGAATAACGAATGTGGGAATATGACAGCAAACATGGCCGCAATATAAAACAAAAAGGCAAAAAAAGACTCAATACAAAAGAATCTGTATTTAATCAAAAGCCAGAGTGTGAACAACCTCAAGACAACACCAAAGAGCACAGCCAGAGCAATCATTAAAACAGAATGTTCCCCCAAGAAATCACCACCAAAGTAGACAGCAGCTGTCACAGTTAATGCCGCCCACAAAGTGGCTGCACATTCACCAACGTCCCTGATTTATTAGTCACATTTCATTTGAACTGAGAACATTGTTTCCGGATTAAAAAAATTAAGCCTTGAGACAACCAATTGAGGAAAAAAGGTAACGTGGTAATTGCCAACAAATACACAGATCTCATCGATGGGGGAGAAGCGGTATTAGAGAATGGACTTCATATCTGCACCCATATACTGCATCTCGGAGCTTGAGGCCACAAAGAGGGCGACAGCCGCGGCAGCGCCCGTGGAAGTTTTAATGGCCTCTACCCGGTAATCACGCGGCTCAACTTCCCTCCAAAGCCAGTAGACAGCCAAGGAACATCCATGTGGCTCACGATTCTCACCGCAGTGCAGCTCTAATGGAAGCGCCGGCAAAGCGCACCGCCTCGGCCTGCTGAACCTTCGTCTCCCCCGCTGGGCTTTCCTCCAGTTCCTGAGTAAATCAACTGGTGCATGTTAATTGGTGTGTCTTTAACCCTGGAGCAAAAGGATAACCAGTATATATGGCCATGCTTTAAAGTGTGTGGTTGGGTGGCTGTGTGTGTGTGTGTGTGTGTGTGTGTGTGTGTGTGTGTGTGTGTGTGTGTGTGTGTGTGTGTGTGTGTGTGTGTGGAGAAGAGTATGCTGGACCGCAGAAGGTTCTATGTTTGACAGCTCACATCTGTACAATATGCGCACACACACACACACACACACACAGACACAGAACACGCACACAGGAGGCGAATTCCACATTCCTCCTAATGTGGATATTTTCTTAAATAGTCTCCAGAAAGGAAACGTTTTACAGCAGTTTAGACCGGAAAATGTTTGTGTTATTTACATTGCAGGAGAAACTGTGGTCGTCGGCAGTTCGGAGAAACCTACTTTGAACGGGTTCCAACTCTTTCATTGCCTTGTTCGAAGCCAATAAAATAATACAGTTGTTGGGAGAGCTTTTTCTGTCTGTTATACATTTTAAAATGAGCAAGATGATACATGCAACCACCCAGAAGTCCTCATTAACCTCTGGAGGGAGGGACCTACAATTCAAGCGATCATCAGTGCCGTCATAAATAAAGAGAAGTGAGGATACACATCTGTCATAACCGCTACGACTGAGCTGTGCTGGATACGAAATCTTTGGTAATTACAGTGCAGGTTGTAACACATTCATGCCAATTTTCTATCCCCAATTAAACAAAAAACTGTCGGATCGAAAAAATGGAAATAAGTCAGTTTACAAATGAATGAAGCGCATGGTTGAAATTAAATTAAACCAATTACCAGAAAAGAAACAAATTTACAAGAATTAAAAAATGACAATGAATCAACAATGAGTTTCCACGCACTCACAACATAAATACACAGAATAAAGAGAGGCTCTCGTGGCGTAATCTGCTTTCTCTCAGCACCTACAGCCCATCAGAGCTGGCAGGATGAAGGGGACAAAGGAACGAATTCCGCGTTCACCTTTGCCTCCCCTGGAATAAAATTAGTTGTCACCCAGGGTCCGGATGGTAACCACTCTTGACAATCCACTCATCTGACTTTCAAGTGAAGGCGAAAGGGACAGGACTCGCCGCGGGGGGGAAGGGCTTATTCTGGAAGGAGAGACCAATGCGTCAGTAGACTGATTCGCTAACGGTAAGGAGTGGCGCGGCGAACTAAGCTCAGCCACGACGTTCCATGTTCGATCCGTCACCGTGGATACATTAACGCAGGTCTAAGCGAGGAGGGAATTGGTGTGAGAGTAAATGAGTCATGATGGAATTGACATTAGTACGCGGTGTATGATGAGCAGAAACAACCACACTCGCCACAACAGACGTTTAAAGCACAAACTGGGGTGTTTAAAGCCCTGACCGGGTCCTTTTCCCCCGTCGTTATGGCTGATTAGATCCCGTGAGCCCGGGTGAGATCCCGTGTGGGATCCAAAAGGCCAGTTGATGGATTCACTGTTAAGTTACCTGATAAATAGCGACTGGAAGAGGAGGGACAGCTAAAGATGGAAGCTCTAAGGAGAGGTAAATATGCTACATGTTGTTTGTTTTATCCATACAACAAACACTGTAAAAAAGTGAAACAGTGTCATTAACAGGTTTGTTTTATCTATTGCATTTTGCAATTTTCCCCCAAGCACCAATGGGTGGGAGAGGAAGCTCTACTACCGCGGCGCTCCATTCCTTGGAGTTCATCCTCACACCATATAGGCCTCTACCTGTGGTAATTTGCAGTTTCCTGGTCTTAACATTCACACACGCATCTAAAAGCATCTCCCCCGCAAACAGTTACGTTCCATTATGGTAGATGAGTTTCATGGATTGTATACGAAAGATGGAAGACGGTGGCCTAATTGGCGTTGGAGCGCTCTGGTACCCAAGTGGTTGGCTTGTGTGATACAGGTTAGCGGAATAAAGAAGTCCCACAGGCAGGGAAAGGTAAATATGTAGTATCATAGGAGGACTGTTCTCAGGCAGGTCTCTCCAAATCCGGTTCATGGAAAGGAGTCATCTCGGCTGCAGACAGTTCTTAGAAGAGCCTGATGTGACCTGAGGGCAGAATAATGTAATTTCTCTTTACTGGCTGAACGTGCAGTATGATTTCCCGTATTAAGGTGTAAAATATTATTGTATCAACACAAAATTTGCCTAACTACAAAATGTGCAGTTTCTCCTTCAGGATAAAGGGACAAATGCTCGTTTGATGAAGACAGGATTGGAGGCAGATGGGTAATAGTGTGTTATCTCACGCAATCATGCAAATTTCATCAGCCCTACAAGCTACATCTTGGATCAAAGAGTGAGTGACTTGCTGAACTACCCAGACATACCTGACTTTACCTTGAGTCGCAGTGTCAGTTTGCCTTTCCTGAAGATCATTATCTCACATCGGTGATCACTGGCTGTAAAACCAAACCATAAAATCAGCCATGGTTGGTGCACACTCATAAGGTCTCATAAGGAATATTCATACGAAAAAATTGGTTCAAAGCTTAAATAACCCTCCATTAAAAGTAGCGGCTGGTTAAATATAGAAATAAGATGTTAACATTGAAGTAGTATCACTGGGAGATTCTAATTTTCACCCCCTCCGCGTGCTTCGGTACAAATCCCAAAGTTCCCATGGGAGAGCTTCAGAGCAGCTGCCTTTTTAGCAAATCCCAAATTACAGATGTGCGTCTGGGACCGCTTAAACGAGTTTCTTGAAATAAAACAGTATAAAATCATACAACACATAAGAAGTCATATCAGTTGACCTTTTCCTAATCGACTCAAGATTATTGTCATTTCTTAAGGGCTTTGAAAAATGCAGGGTAATGCTTACATCTTAAATTGTTATACTAAACTATTCAACCATAGGGCCTTATAAAACACAAAAAGGGATTACATCCGCCACATGATCGCCGTGTGAAGTCTATGCGCCATGTAGAGTGCTGCGTAGGACCCAACAAGATAGAATAGCACTTGTTCTCTCGTCAAAGAGTCCAATGGGATTTGGATTGATTTTGGATTGCTGGGAAACATACATACGTTTTGTGTGTAAACGAACGCTCACAACACCTTTTGCTCGGCAAGATAATCTTCACTAAAGACACCACTTTTATGATTTTCGAGGCCTGAATGCTACTGGCTAAAGTGAAAGGCTAAAGCTATGCTATGAACTCGTTACACTTTGGTCACCCAACGCCGCTGTGAAGGCAGACTAGTCAGCGGTGGAGAGATTTAGCCATCGAGCCAATTGTTAGCAAACGCCACAGAGATGTGTTAAAAATAAAAATTCCATATTTTATATCGTGAACGTTCATGAGTCTGTAACCACATACGTTATCTCAGGCATTTGAACAAAACCTAATTCTAAAAACACCCATTTCTACATACACAATGACGCTAAACAAAGTACTAACTTAAAAGTACTCAACTGAACCAAATGAGCTTTTTGAAGCTCAAGGAGGTTGGCTAGCCTGAGTGCTAAAAAGTGACGCCATGGAGCCCTGACCAACCAGATGTATGTGACGAGTTGGGAATGAGAACGGGTTTCCTCTGAGGATCCGTGTACTTCTAATACGCTGCTTCACTGATGCACCAAACACATTTGTGGTTGCTAGTCCCGCAGGTGGCAGAATGCTGTTCCATGCTCTATGAACACTGTCATCAAAGCATTTTAATTATACTTTTGTGACTATAATGCTCTCGAGGGACCAGGCAGTTAATGTTCCCAAAACTTCAACTGCAAAGAGATGAAACGTGCCTGACAGGAACTTCAAACACGGAGATGAGATGAGAAAGAGGACAGGACTGAATCCAGTGGATGCTTTGGGATCAGCAGTTGGAATGACCAGAATACAAAGACAAAAGTAAAAATAAGTGCCTTAAGCTCTGAGCCTGAGTAAGCAGTACTTCTGGAAACCAAAGAGCTGAGAGGATAATGTCAAAGGAAAACTCCATGTCCATTTTTGTGTGTTAGAAAGAAAAAAACAGAAAAACCCTTGAGACTATACGGCACATTGATTCACGGTTCCTCCTGGACATGGCAGCCGTCACAGTTATTTAGGGGAGATTTATCCCAGTCCGTCTCAGGAGCAGTCCTGTGACATTTCCATTTGTCACATGACAGCATGTCTACGGACCACAACGTGGGGGCGGGGGGCTGTGGAGATGCTTGGTGTCGTTGAAAAAAGCTTTTTGCAGCTCTAAGTGTTCTTGAGTGTACAGAAGATGTCAGGGGAGGGTGTGTGAATCTTTGGATGAATGTACAAATCGATGAATTGATGGGTGGGAGAGGAAACTGCCGGCTATAAGGGCGAGATGAGAGGAGCAATAGTGGAGATGAGTAACACCGAACTAGAAAGGGAAATTGCTGTATATGTATTCAGCGGGGAGCAGTTAGCCCTGGAGAACGGATTGTGTTTCCAATGATGAATGAAGTGAGGTGGTGATCAAAATATATATATATATATAAAATCGAGGACAATAATGAGCGAGGCGTTTTGATTGACACAGTGTTGACAGCGGTGGCCCAGCTCAGGACTAGTTAGCTTTTGGCAGCTTTCAAAGGCCACAAATCATCAAAGCTGAATTTACCAAGGCGAGCAGCTTTAAAGGAACAACAGTCGGAGGGTTCAAAGCTGATGGAATAATTAGAGAAATGTTGATAGATACAGAGGATTTCACAGGCAAGAGAAGTAAAAAAAAAAAAAAAAAAAACTAGGGCCGTCAACATAAACGAGTCAATCTATGCGATTAATGTGGCAGAGATTTATGTGACAAAATATTTGAACGTAGTTAACGTAACCGTTTGTAAACGGACAGCAGGAAAAGTCGCTACTTCAACATGTCCGATCCAGTAGAATTCTGCCTATCGAACAGTGTCTAAAATACACAATTTCTAAAGTCTTACTCAAATACTCAAAGATTTACTCTTTAGAAGTAAAACAAACATTAATGAATTTCAAAATGTGCGATAAATTTGAAAATAAAAAAAAGTATCACAAACAGATGTGAAGGTGAAGGCAGGTAGGCAAAGGCCGCCAGCTGGGTTGGTTACTAACAGCGAGTGTTTTGCCACTCCGACATTGCTGGTCCGACCATAATTATTCATTAGCCCCCCAACACACAGATCTGACGTCCTCCCCTTAAGGGGCTTCTCAAACGTCTTCATTTGTCTATGTCACTGTCAGTGACTGTGTGTTTGTGTGTGCGCGAGTGTGTTTGTATACTTTACAGGTTGGATGCAGATCCGATTATGCTTTATTCATTCTGCCTCATCATAAAATGTAAAAAAAAAAATCAGCTACCAGAGCATGAAATTAGGAATAATAATTTCCCATAGTTAAACCTTAGATGCATTAAATAGCCTGGAACATATCAGTTTGTTAGCAACCAGTTGACATGAGTAATGCGCAGGCTGGGAAAGCAATCGGCCGCAGCGGGTCGATGGTGTGAGCTAAAATCAGGCGTTATTAGGCTGAACACCTTCAAGGCTTCCTCACACACGCTTTAACTCCTACCAAAGGGTCCTCTGGGCTCAGGCATTATAATCAGAGTTGAAACTGGGAAAATTAACCGCAATACAAGGATAAATCACACGGCGTCACCGATGCCGGGGCCGAGAGATGGAGCGTGCGTGTGGGCCGCAGGCGACGGCTGTGTGCAGATAAGTCATCACCATCACAAGCCCTGTGATTGTGCTCCTCCGTTATTACTTCCACAGTCATTGAACGATGTGCCCGGCAGCGGACGCTGCAGCAAATGTTAAAAGGCGTGAGGGCAGAGAACACAAGAATACCACTTTCAATAAGGTTCAATTAGATAAATGCCAACAGGGATTCGTACCATACTGGAGCCACGTGGGTATTTGTGGACGGAGGTCAGAGGGAACTAAAAAAAGAGAGATGCTGCATAAATGAGAGGGTGAGTTGCATAGAGAGGGGGGAGAGGGAGAGGGAGGGAGGGTGAACAGAGGCGCATATGGGGGGGGATGGCTCCAGATGTTGCGGAGAGACAGAAGGGAGACGCACAAACAACAAAACAACCAGCACTACCCGACACACAGAGACACACAGACACCAGGACCATTGACTGAGGAAACCGGGGTTGATCTTTCAGATTGAAGGAACAGGATTTAATCGCTAATAATCCAGGCAGGAGAGAAAGCATCATTTGGGGCGGCGGAAGGCGGGAGTGGAGGAGGAAACAAAGGAGCGGTGACCCGAGGCGGAGAGAAGAACCCCGGAGACGGGAACAGGTAGGAGAAAGACAGAAACCCTAAGAATGGAAGAAAAGTGTGTGTGTCAGTGAAAAATAAATAGATAATGATATTTTTAGTTTATTTGGCAAAATGCAAACCATTGATGTTAATGTGCATGCACTGATAATATATACCCTTTCTCAGTCAATCAATATATTTCTCTGTACGGTTATTGATGCTTAAGGGAAAGATTTGAAGAAAGGTGGGGAGGAATAAAAGAAGGGAGAGGACATGAATAAACTAACAATAATAATCATCCTATAAATAAGCATCTAAATGAGGGAAACAAATGAATCAACAAGTTTCATGCATAGAAAAAACAAAAACAAACTGAATATCTCTCTGGCTCTTGGTGATTAGCAACACAAACATTGCAGCACCATTCCTAATGGGCTGTGTGAATAATAGGTTGCATTTTCAGGAGGAAAACCTCTGCTGAGGTTTCTGGGAACAGCTGGGCGATCGAGAGATTTTGATTATTACATCAATGTGAGGGGGGGCTTGGGGAATAAACCGTGAGGTGGGAGCCACATTAATCAAGCCTGCTAGGCGACGCTGCCCTTGTGTTCCTCTGGGTTCTACAGCTGCTTCCAATAAAGAGGTGGGGGGGGGAGGTTGGAAGAATGAACGTCTTCCCCTCATACCCACCTAAGACCACGCTGGGTGAGGTGCTGCCACCCTGTGGCGAGACTGTAACTCCCCCCCTCCTGACACGGCTGGGTGGGGGCATGTGGTTCTTTTGTGCTCACCTTTATCGTGTGCTTGCCGCACAGCTGCTGACCTCCGCCTGGCCGATTCCACAATGTCTGTCCGTCTGCACGCGCTGCTGACCCTCTGCCTGACCTTCACGCAGGGGTGAGACACCTGAAGGGACACACACACACACACCGATTTGAAGTGTGCTTTTCTTTGGCTCGTCTTCTGCTACAACCCCTGGTTCCCTCCCCGTGCCCCTCTGTTTTTCCGTCAGCGGTTGCACGTACTTCAACAACCACTGGGGAGAATGGAACGACTCTCAGCTGCAGCCGACGATCCAGAAGCTGATGAAAGGCTACAACCGCTACCTCAGACCCAATTTCAACGGTAGGAACGTGCTTCCCGACTGAGGGCCGTCACTTCGTTGAATTCAGTTGTGTGTGCGGACTGAAAACAGACTTGTTTCTCCACCCACCCCCCCTCCTTCTGTGTCCCCGTCTTTGACAGGGGGCCCTGTGGAAATCGGAATGAGCCTCGACATCGCCAGCATCGACGCCGTCTCTGAAATCAACATGGTGCACCACTCTTCCCCCTGCGTTTTGTGTCGGTGGGTGGAAATAATGAACAAATGCAAAGTAAAAACATCTTCTTCACGTCCATCTGTTTTGCAGGACTACACCGCGACCATCTTCCTCCGTCAGCGCTGGCGGGACTCGAGGCTCGTGTTCCCCGGCAACGAGAGCGTCAGCGTGGACGGCCGCCTGGTGTCGCTGCTGTGGATCCCCGACACCTTCATCCCCGACTCCAAGCGCTCCTTCCTGCACGACGTCACGGTGGAAAACCGTCTCATACGCATCTTCAGCAACGGCACCGTTCTCTACGCCCTACGGTACAGCCTGACGCTTAGCCGTTGTGAGGGGAGAGGAAGGAGAATCTTCACATCTTCTCTGTTTTCGTGGTTGTTCGTGGTAATCAAGCGTGAATTTGCCTTGGGTTGTTCTAAAAAAAGAGCACTTATGTATCACCACGCAGTCATATGACTTGAGGGAATTCCACTGACTGTCTGGGTTTTTCATGGCCTTCAAAAATGTTCAGGCAGTGCTAGAAAAGATTCCCCAGTGCCCAATGGCACTGATGCAGACCGTCTTTATGACAGGAATGGGCAGAACTGGGTAGAATGTTACTTATTTCATGTATTAGAACCTAATTTTGATTCATAGAGTGGAGCCCGATTAGAAATATAAATAGTTACGTTTGATCCAAGTTGTCCGTTTGTCAAACTGCCTTTTTGTTCATTTTTCGTATTTATTTAGCATGTTTTTCTATAACTATACCAGTTATTAACGGCGTGGTTGTGCATGAAGTGATTTGTTTCCCCCCCACAATCTTGCTGTGCTTACACGACAGCATCACGGCTACGATTGCCTGCAACATGGACCTGACCAAGTACCCCATGGACAGACAGGTGTGCACCCTGCAGCTGGAGAGCTGTGAGTACCTGTGAGCTCCATCAAGTGTGGAAATTCATCCCCATCATGTCATCCTGCTCATCACCATCATCATCAGTGTAGTGAGTATCCAAAGGGAGAAACAGTGTTAACACTCACAGGTCAAATTCATGCAACTTTAATTTGTGTGTGTGTGTGTGTGTGTGTGTGTGTGTGGTCAGGGGGCTACAACCTGCAGGATGTGGTGTTCTACTGGACCAGAGGGAATGATTCAGTGAAGGGTCTCGACATTCTGCGACTGGCTCAATACAGCGTGGAGAGCTACTACACGTCAGTGTCTGAGGCCGTCTATGAGACAGGTAGGACACTCTGGACTCCCAGAACGCACCGTCACACGTGGCGCTGCACACAAGAGAACACATTGAATGCATCACTTTTAAAAATATTGTCCCTTCACGCAGGACAATACCCCAAGCTGGTGTTGCATTTTGCTCTGCGAAGAAACGTGCTGTTCTTCATCCTGGAGACGTACGTTCCCTCCATCCTGCTGGTAGTTCTCTCCTGGGTCTCTTTCTGGATCAGCCAGTCGTCCGTTCCAGCGAGGACCTGCATTGGTCAGTTCCACATCCCTCACTAGAGCGTGTGTGGGAGTGTGTGTGTGTGTGTGTATTGACTGTAGGTCTAAGTGTTTTGACGTTAGTATATTTGAGTGCATCCATTTGAATTGATATCCAAAAATCTCATTCAATGTTTGATTCTGGAACATGCCTGCGTACACGGAAATATTAACACACGTGTCAGGGAGGAACTGCCGTGGGTCAGAGGATATAATGGTCGGGGAATCACTGACATGGCATATGCTCTGTAACATGGTCAGACACATTTGCAGAAAGCAGAGAAAGGACCTGAACATCATCCAATATTACCCATACAAAATAGATCAGCCACCATCCAACATAATTGGACCCTGAAGAAAACGGCACATGTTGAATTGTACGAACTAGAGGTCTAATCTTGCGTTATGAAAACAACGAGTCTGTGATGTCATTTCCAGGAGTAACAACGGTCCTGACGATGACCACACTGATGATGGGCGCCCGCACCTCCCTGCCCAACGCCAACTGCTTCATCAAGGCCATCGATGTTTACCTGGGAATCTGCTTCACCTTCATCTTCGGGGCGCTGGTGGAGTACGCCTACGCCCACTTCTATACCGTGAAGCACCACACCATCGAGGACCTACACAGGGTGAGAACAATTGTCATCATTGAAACCCGAAGGAAAACTAATTCTAAACGACGTGGTGGTTCATAAAACGCTTGTAATCCGCCCCGTCCACCAGGAGCTTCGGAGGGAGCTCAATGAATACAACTGGAACGGCTCCATCCTCAGCTCCACCCAACCCAACCGGTCCGTGGAGACCTTCCCCCCAGCGGAGGAGCCCGCGGATCGGCAGGCCGACAGCGGGGCGAGGAGCGACGCCGGGGCCGAAGAGCCGGCGTCGTCGGGAGGAGCCGGCGGCCTCCAGTCAGTGAAGGACGCGTCCCGTCGGGTGGCGTCCGTCTTCGTCGTGGAAAACCCGCACGACATCGATCGCCGAGCTCGCACAGTCTTCCCCGCGGCATTCCTCGTCATCAACGTCCTCTACTGGCTTTACTATCTCTTTCTGTGAGCGCCGGGTTGCGAGCCGCCGCCGCAGCGTCGTTCGTCTCCCGCAGCTGCTTCGGGTCCTCGGTCGAGACCCGATAGCAGCCGCCACCGCCGGGATCTAAACTGATCATACAAGCCTTTTATGTGGGACGAGTAGAAGCCGCTTTGTGGTGCAGACGGGGGCAGAAAGCGGTGCAGTTGAGTTAGGGACGATTTCTTCTTTGTAACACACTGGTTTCAAACCTATAAATTGATGACATAAGCATGGATGGCTTCTCACAACACACAGACCAATCGATACGTCTGTTTAGTCACAACTCCACAGAACACACAAGGGGGATTTAACTAGCTGTAAACCGATAGGCTGCCAGTGAACTGCCTTTTTTGACTGGTGTAAATGTGTAAATGTTCGGCTGTCACACTTTGCATGTGTGAAACCATATTCTGAGTATTGAATTCACAGCATATCATGTGAAATTATAGTAGAAAGTCTGTGACGGAGATAAAGTAAGTCTGTACTGTAACAACTGATTGAAAGATCACCTGCGTGAGAATAAGACACATTTATTATTCCCAGGTAGGAGAACAGTAAAGTGCACAAGACATCCACAGGTTGGGAAGAAGGAGTTGATAAAAGTTACACAGCAGAAATATTTTTTTTCAATTTGTACCAGAAAGAGTCAATTGGATGTAGGATTGTACAGCAGTTGTTTCTTTTACATCGTAGCAGAGCGTCAACCTGAGCGGAGAAGCCAATAAGTGCTGTCAAAAGAAATGATAACACATGGCACATAACTGAAGGTTAGTGATGATGAGTAACGGACATTAACAAGTATAAAACACAGTAACAGTAGTCTTTGTACAGGCAGAAAAAAACATGCTATATAAAAAAGGCACATCTTTGCTTGAACTACCGCCATCCAACACTTCACTTATAGCGCCTCAACGTGATTAATTAAACATTTCATTGTAGGACAATATGCACTTCGCTTTAGAAAACCTTTCTTTCTTGTGTCTTTCTCACATAAAACTTTCCTTTTTGTCTTTTCGCCACATTTGAATAAGTGTCCCCAGAGACAGAGGAGATCCTTGGCTCCAGCGAGCAGGCCGTCCTCCCATCCAGAGAGGTCCTTTTAGGAAGTCACATGAGTAAATATTCAGTGAGTTGTACCTCCACCTAGTGGCTGATTTCTTTCATTACGGTTGTTTTCCTGGGTAGAAGTCTGTGCTGTCCTCTTTGATATCCATTCATTCTTTCTTTTTCCCGTCCTCTTCACGATGCTGCTCTTAGGTCTTTTTCTTCGACTCCCATTCCTGTGAAGAATGGGATTTGGTATTTGTAAGTGATTCGTCTTTAATGAGTACTGAATAAAACAATTTGTGTGATGCCACTGTAACAAAGAGATGTGTCCAAAAACATGTCCCAATATTTCACTTAGACTTACAGAAACGGCAATAATGACTACCAATCTATCTGTGCTTTGTAGCGCATATTATGAATCATTTTTAGAAAAAGAGATATTGAGGTTATGGATGCCGGGCAACTTACAGTGTTACAGCCACCAACTTCTTCAAACAATCCTGATTAGTCAGTGAGCAGAATATGGATGACTTCTATAAACTATATCTGGCAGCTTCATAGTAAGGATGGATGGAGGAGTGATCCAGGAGGGTGTCTGGGAGAGTTACCTTCGCCTTCTGCATGACGGTGCCCGACGCGGAAGCGTAGACCGACAGAGGCCTCCGACGCATCTCTGCCGCGCAGTTCACCGGCAAGGAGTCACTGTAGATATTCTGCTTCTTTTTGCGGGAGGCCTACAACAACAGAGAGGGAACGTAAGAACTAAACCATGTGATCTATAGTGCATGGTGTGTGTGTGTGTGGGGGGGGGGGGGGTCGACAAAAGCACCTTAACCGGGGGTTTGGCCTCAACAGGCGCGCCCAGCGCCCCGCCGGCCTGACTCTTCTTGAGGTTCTCTTGGACCTGAGTGAGCCGGAGCTCCAGGTCCACCCGCTCCGCCTCTTTGGCTCGACAGGCGTCCTCCAGCTGGGACATCCGCTTGTTGAGGGACAACTTCCTCCTCTCTGCTCCACACACACACACACACACACACACACACACACACACACACACACACACACACACACACACACACACACACACACACACACACACACACACACACACACACACGACTTTTAGGACTAAGAGGGCTGTTGTACTTCTTGTTCTCAAAGACATCTAAACACTCAAAGTTGGCATAGAAACCTGTTGTGGGTTTATAAAGGGATATTATTATAGATTATGCTAATCAAAAGAAGTCAAAGATAATCCAATATAATGCTAAACATAACATAACATGTTGCTTAATGAACATTTACTTTAACTTGAAATGGAGTGCGTATACCATCTGGTTTGTCACTGTGTGACGCTGAAGGAAATGAATCATATTTAGAACGTTTTGATAATAAAAGCCATTAAATGTTTTATTTTTCCAGGTAGGGATGTTACCTCCTCACACCTCCCTCTAATAATAGAGGTCAGAGCGCAGGAACACAGACGTGCACTTCATGTACAAACCGTTCAACTCAACCTTTTTTAACAAATACTAAAGGAGGTTCATCATTATGCTATTGAAGGTACACAGTAGTGTATCCTGATCATGTGTTGTCGTCTCTCCCCTTTGCTTTGCGTCTCCTCACCAGAGGCCGTCTTCAGCTCCTCCTTCAGCTCCCTCTTCTCCTTCCGCAGGGTCACGAGTGCATTCCGTATCCCGTCCCTCTCCCTTTCCAGCTCCCCTTTCTCCTTCATGTAACGCTTGGCGTCCTCCTCAGCTCGCGTTTTCCCATAGCGTCCGTATTGGTTGGCGTCTGGGTAGAGATTTGAGAAGGGAGCAGGGGTCAAAGGGCGCAGGGGTTATGGGAAGGAGACAAAACAACTCACAGCCATCCTTCGGTCTCTCCTTAATGTCACGCTCGCTGCCTGAGGACACACTAATTCTCCCCTCTTCTCGTAATTCAGACACAGAAATATGGGGGGGGGGGTGGGGGGGGGGGAGAACACGGATACGAGACTAAAAAATAATTCCACACACACACACACACACACACACACACACACACACACACACACAGACTCCTGCAGAGGGAGAGATCTGGAGGCAGCGGATCTAATGAGCGTGTCCAATAAATCTCAGGTTGCATCCAGAAACTCTCGGCCACGGCGAGCGCCGTCTCTTTGATGTGTCAGATCGCCACGGCGATGGCGTGTGAAACAGCGCCAAGAGGAGCAAAGAGACAACCGAACACGGCGATATCACGTTGCTACACACACGGGACGCTCATCTCATTTGTCCTTTCTTTTCTTTTTTCTTTTTAACAGTAAAAGACAACTGAAGAAACGGAGCAAATGGTAGAGAAGAGGCGAAGTGAAGAGATTATGGATGAAAGCAAAAAAAAGATGATTGACAGGAGAGAGGAAAAGGGGAAATACTGAGCCAGGTGAAAGGTCAAATTCTAGGTCTGTGAATTGGTCCAAAGCTGAAAGGATAGTGTAGTGGCCATTTGTCCTCCAAATCTTTGAATGTCAAAGGGCCACTGCTGCACCCAGTTTTGTTTCCTTCAACGCAGTAACAAAGCGTGTTGTCCACACCTGCTTTTCTTGTCGTTTCTCATTCATTTAGATTTATTGTATTGTATGTATCCTATACAGTGCTCTGTCGCTGTGTCTCACTGTCTTACTGGTAAAACCATTAAGTCACCCAGGTGCATGCTGGTCCCACCTGACTATGCTCCTAAGTAACCTCCAGGTGCCCACAGCATTACCCAATTAGTGATCCAGTTACCCAAACAATTCAGCAAACTATATTCAAGAATAACCAACTAAATAATAGCTCCCACAGATAGTATGAATGATGTAAGCTTACGATAGAGGGACACAACTATGTTGGTTTCTTATTTCCCTCAAAGGGCAGCAGGCTGCTTCCCTCTTTCTTATTTATTGTATTCTGTAGAGAGACGGATGGAAGGGTTCAAAAGGGTTCTACAAAGGGTTCTCTGTTCTTCGCTACATCATTAACTATATTATTGACCTGAGCAGGACTCCTGATGGAACTGTTGGCGGTTTGGGTGTGTAATGCTCCAGCGGAGATGAGGAGCGGGCTACAGATATCTGGCAGGCTCGCATGTTTCCACCGGCACACCCACAAATATGACTCAAGAGACGTCACGTGGATCAGCATCGCTGGCTCATAGAAGTCTCCTTTTGTATTCATATGGAACTGATTCTTAAAACACATAATTATGTCATTAACCTTCTGAACTATCAGAATTATTTTCACCCCACATTTCCTAATCCGTAGATTGAAGACCATCCAAGGGCGTTTAGCGTCTCCGCACCTTTGAAATACCTCCAGGCTTTGCACAGAACACGTTTCCCGCAGTTTGTCTCCATTATTGAGACACCCCTTGGTTGTGACTGTTGTACTTCATCATTTTGCATGTGACGATTAAGATTTCAGTCCATCTGTCAGTAGATTTCACGTGAACAGGCTCAGCATTACTGACGCAGAAAACACACTTACTGGAGCCCGTTCGCTTGAGGGAGACTGAAGGCTTCGTCCTGTCAGAGTCGCTGCTGGAGAAACTTGAGCGCCTTTTCACTTGATTCCCAGACTGCTGCCTGCGGTTCTCCCCTGCCTGGGTGGAGGGGAGAGGGGGGGGGGTGGGGTGGGGTGGGGGGATGCAAAGAGAAGGATGAGGTCAGAGGGGAAAAAGAAAGCAAAGTCCGTATATCAGGCGATTTATCTTCAGATTTATTGGTTTGAGACATCGGAGGTGTGATGTTTGTGGATGTAGGTGTTGAGAAGCATGTGTTTAAGTGCATGTCAGTGGGGTTAAGAGGGGAGTTTACAGGCGTGACCTCTTGCCTTCCCTTCCCCGGTTTAATCGCTTTCTTTCTCCCAGGCCCACACACGGCTTTTCCTTTGGCTGGCTGGAAAGCAGTCATTGATGGGCGCGTAACAGCGCGCAGCACGCGCGCACGTGGTAAGTAAGTTATTTCAAGGTTGAACTGAACTCAAAAGCGTCCCACCTGCACGTCCTCATTGGGGACCTCGTCGTATGTCCTGGAGTCTGCATAGGAACTGCTGGAGGAGGATGTGGCCCACCTAGGATCGGGGGAACATCCGTCAGCGGCCTTGCATTTGACCCCGCCCAAGTATTGGGTATCCCCCCTATCCCACTCACAGGAAGGAATGCCGCGCAGCGTCGCGGATGTTGGCGATGGTCTCCACGTCGACGTAGTCGTAATGCAGCGACTCGGGATCCGCCGCGGAGCCCGTCTCCGCCAACAGGACGCCGAGCCACCTCCCGAGTTCCTCAGAGCTGCTGGCCTGAAAAAACAAAAACCAAAAGAAGAGACACAAGAACGTCAGCTTCAACTTCCGACGACGAGAGTGTCGCTTGGAAATGACAAATAGGCGTTTCACCTCCAGGGCAGCCACCTCCGTGCAGTGGCGTACGATGCGGAAGGCGAAGGGATGCTTGGGTCCCAGCCCGGGCACCACGTCGCAGCCGTGGAGAGGGAGTGAAGGCAGGAAGGTCCGGGCGTCGCCTTTGTCGTTGTAGAAGTGCAGGGAGCCCCGGCACACGCAGCACCACTGATCCCTCCACACCTGATTCACCAGCACCGACACGTAGCCTGCGCGGCGCCGAGGGAAGATTGAGGGGAAAGTTACGCTCCGGGCCGATTTAGGACATCTGAGGAGCGTCGTTGAGTGTGGGCGAGGTGGGGGGCAAGATACCTTGTCGAGGGTCGGTGTAGGAAGTCCGGGGATCTCCTGGCCGAGGGGGCTTCTTCTTGGAGAAGCTGATGATGCGTGTGATTTTGCGGCCCGCAGCAAAGGCGCCCCGCTTCACTTTGCCTGCGTCAAAAATGAAAGCATTGAACCGCTTTGTCCCAATGCGTCTCTTAGCATGAGGACACTAAATCGCAATTAACAAGGAGGCAAACTGCGGGACGAAAAACAAGTTACATTACATGTCATTTAGCTTTTATCCAAAGCGATTTACAATAAGCGCAAGAAACAAGAAACAAGTACAATTTAAGTGCTACAATTTGTTAGAGTTTTTAGCCGAGGTAGAGTCTGAAGAGGTGTGTCTTTAGTTGTAGATGTGAAGGCTCTCTGCGCTCCTGATGTCACCACAGAGCTCGTTCCACCATTTAGGAGCAAAGACAGCAAAGAGTCACGTATTTATGTTTCAGCCAGCCTTGAGGCCGTCCCCGGTCTCACCGTTCTCTTTGCAGTTCTCCACAGTTGAGACGCCCACACTGTCCGAGTCTGATGTGTTCCTCTCTGCAGAAAGTCTCTGAGGGACAAACACAGGTTTCTGTCCGTCAGTCCTCCAAGCGGATCAGTCCGTCTTGTCTTAGTTAAAAGCTAAACAATCTATAAAAGGCTCCTTTCTCTTCATCCTGGGCTTTCGTTCATGAAAGTGCCTCTTGTAGTTTACGTTCAGGTTGTTAAGCTTTAAAGAGGATGTGGCTGCTCCAACCCTGACTCACCGCCACCCCCATCGTTGCTGCCTTAACACTCAATTATCGGCGTGTATCTTCTTTGTTCAGCGAGCAGTCCCTGCTGTCAGCTGTTCGCCGTGTCTCGCCAGGCAATTGTTTAGTTGATGGCGACTGCAGACAACACAAGTGCTGCATACCACCAACCTCTCATCACCCCAGCTGTAGAGAGATCATGTCTCTAGGGAGGAAAAGAGCACCCTGTCCTCCCGCAACTTACCTTGTCAAGTTCAGTTTTTCTCCGAATGACGGGAGACGCAGACTCCTCTGGCCCGGCACTCTGACCGCTCACCTCTCTAACAACCTGCGGGTTAGATATTTCACAACGCATCACCACACGGTACTCTTCCTTTTGAGGGTCAAACATACAAACATGTCGCCTCGGAGAGTGTCGTCTCACCCGGAGCCATCTGCGGGCCTGCTCCTGGCTCTGCACGGCCAGCACCAGCGCATCGCCGTTGGGTAACGTGAAGCGGAGTTCGTGGTGCTTCCTCTTGCCGTCTTTCGGCGCGTAGACCACGGTGCACTGCGGCAGGAGCATGTCCACGTAAGGGCTTGTGTCCTTGGAGCTCTTATAGCACTGCAGGAAGAGGAGGGGAGGCACGTAAGATACTGCGAGTTGCAGAAGAGAAGAGGAAATGCCGACGGCTGATCTTCGATCGCGTGTAGGAATTCCCACCTGGAGTCTGTTCTCCCGTATGACGGTGAGCTGCTTCGCCCACTGGCCGAAGCGCTTCTTGCGCAGCAGGAAGGCGCAAATGCGACAGTCCCTGGCGGGGGTCATGGAGCTCTCATCCGAGGGCCACTGGTGAGTGAGCCGGACGCCGGGGCCCCTCTCTTCCTCGTCCTCCTCGTAGGACTCGTAGGAACTGCTCAGAGCGTCGGAGTCGTTGTCTGTCAGGGCCGAACCACGCGGGAGAGAAAGACGTTACTTGTTGTCAACAGAGGGAGGCCGGTTTCCTGCAGGGTTTTATTAACGTTGTTCTCAACTCACAGGAGTTTTTGCGCTCAGTGTTTATGCAGGTAGAGGGGTAGTTGTTTTCCGCATCTTCATACCCATCCTCCATCGAGTTGGGGGGGCTCGGCCTGACTGAAGAAGAAAGGGGAAATAAATCCCTCATCACCCTTTTAAGCTTGATGCCGCTCGTGCTGTGTAATTACAGACTGGGAGGTTTCCAAGAGCTAAATGACACAAAGGTCAGACACTGACTTCGTGTGATGATGTACTCGGGCATCTCGCCGGGACTGAGGGGTACTGCCTCCTCATAGTACTCCTCGGGAGGAGGAGTTGTGGGCAGAGGGGGAGGAGAGGCCTCCGGGCGCGGCGGGGCCGGTGAGTCCGCACAGTTTTGCTAAGGGAAACAAACAAAGACAAACTCTGAAATTCCCCTCACAACCAGGGAACATAGATTTTCCATGGTCTGTGAACTGCATCATCAAAGAGAATCAGACGGATATCCATAAATTAGACCCGTGGGCTCCGGGCGGGACCCTTATATCTCAACTCTCCCAACAGCTTGCAGACTGATGAGCGCGTGGGAAACTCCCCAAAAACGTGGACAACAACAATCTCCGTTTTCTCTTTGCTTTCTCCCCACAAGCCACGAAGATGTGCATTAGTCCTCTGCAAAGTCAGATCTTGGCTGGGGGGAGCTCAAAGGACAGACGGCAAACAGCGTCCATGCCACGCGCACTGTATGTTTGCAACTCGCACCGCTGGAAATCGGCCAGTCAGGAACGGACGACATCCACTTGCCTGATTTAAAGCGCCAGTCGGTGTGTTCTTGTCTTCTTTCAGATGATCTGTAATATCCTTTAGGCCACCAAGCTCGCAGTCTATGAAAAACGACAATGCACCTTTGAAACAGACACTTCTTCATGAAGACAACAGTATAACTGCGGCTTATTTTAATGGATGGATGAACACCCCATAGCTCAGTGTCTGAGCTTGAACTCACCGAATGTCTCAAAGAGGGACTCTACGAAGCTGGTTCCATTTCTGTACACGGCCGAGTTCATGTAGATGTAGTCTGTACCTGAAACTGGAGGCGGGGAAAAAGAGCTTTGAGTGAATACCCGGAGAGTCTAACAAGAGGACGAAAACCGAGTCGAGCTTTCTTCCTCCTCACTGACCCGATGGCTGGATCTGCTGCAGGAGGTTCCAAACGGAGGCCTTCTTCTCCTGCGTGGAGGAGCTCAGGCTCTCCTGGTCCAGCATCTTCAGCAGGACGCCCAGCTCACTCACCAGCACATCCATCGCTGCACAAAGCAAGGGGAGGGGAGGGGGCAGTTTATCAGTATAGTGCAAAGGTCAGACGGACGGGTCTAAACAAACCAAAGGGGTGTATGTGATGGATCCTCTTTCTCTGTGTCTCTCTTTCATTTTCTGTCACTTTGCTTCACAGTTCGTCAATAGCGAGCGGCCACCTTATCAAACGGTCTGCCTCCTCTCGCTGAGTTACTAGCCAGAATAAACAAGAGCGAGAGGTCGGTGGGACAGGAAACAAGTTTGTTGATTGCTCATTAACCCAGAGAAAAAAGGAGGGAAGTAGAACCACCCGAAAAAAAACTAATGTAACCAAGAAGATCCTGATGCGCCCGGCTCAGAAGCCAAACTCCAGTCGACTGGCGCTCTCAATGCTAAGGAGGTAAATTAAGTGCGCTGTCAGCACATTCTGTGGGGGGGTAAAATGAGGCACCACTTTACATGGTCAAAATGTATAAGCAAGAAGAGTCTTCATCCAACGGGGGAGATTTAAAGTCCAGGCCTCACAAAAACGCATTCCTCCCGGGGATCTCCAAGTTTCGCCACACTTTGAGGACTCGGCCTATAGGAATACATACGGTCCACATTGCATGTTGATCCGGTCCACTCCCTGTTTTCAGAACAGAAGTTAAATAAACCCTCTCCCTCCCTCGGCTGCTGGATGTCCGGGGAACAGGACTGCAACCTGCTGCCTCTTATATGTGTGTGTGTTTGGATTCCTCCTTAAATCAGACTCTCTGCCTGACCGCCAGCCACAAACATTTCTTAACAATCTTCTTAATAATCCCAAAAGTATCCTGGTCGACTCATTGCTGTGCACATTTCACTGCCTCTCCCCCCCCCCTCCCCCCCTACACACACTTACCACTCCCTTCGTCTTCTCCTCTCACCACCCCCTCATCCCTCCCAGCGACACATTTTCACAGTCCGGCCACATCAGACCTGCTGAACCGTACGTCTTGCCGGGGTCATCCGCAGGACAGCTGCTGAGCCAGAAAAGTCCTTTGTTCATATGGTAAAAAGATAAACAAACACCAAATGAACACACACACACACACACACGCTTTCCAAGAATCATCCTCAGCGGGCCGCGTTGGAGGTCAACTTCGGGGGCAGCGGTCAACAAGTCAGCCCGTTACATGCGTGAATGTGCCGGTTTGAGTTGAGGCAGAATGTTGCAGGTCTTGTACGTAACGACGGCTGACCAGCGGAGGTCTAAATAATCTGGGAGTTGTATGTGTGTGTTCTACATTTCAGACTGCTCCCATCCCCAAAGACAGACATACTTTTCTGAGGTGGGTCTTCCTCTGGGCTTCGCAGCGCTCTGCCAAGAGTAAATAGAACTTCAGGAGAGGTGTGTGTGTGTGTGTGTGTGTGTTCGCCCGCGTCCGTTCCACCAGCTCTTTACAAGCTCGTTTCCTTCTATTGTTAAGAAAAAAAGCCCGGTTGCACTCTGAGAGGCTGGCATGAGGCACTCATAAATGCGCGGAGCAGGAATGTCTCCCCGTCCAGATGGCATTCGCCCAGAGGAAACAAGGAAGTGGAAGTCCGAGAAGAAAACTCTGAAAAAACTGAGTGGTAGTTTTTGGGCCTGGCGGGTGTGGTCTCGGTGCCAGAGGTTCCAGCTGTTCAGGATCTGGCCGCAGCGCCCCGCTGGGCTTCCCCTGACATAGTGGAAGGCAGAACTTTAGCCACAGCGTGAGTCATGCCCATCAGAGACACACTGAAACTCACACCGGTCAGCGTTAAATCCAATTTAACTCAGAACTCCAGGTGTCGCTTTCAAGGAGTGGCGCGGAGTAGATCATGGCGCTCAAAATTCCATTTCACCGTCTCACTTGGACCGGCGCTCCAAATAAAACCTCCTTTTTTTTTTTTTACTCACTTTGCCGGTTACAGTGTTATTCAGCTTGTGCCAGAATGAGCAAAGAGGAATTACTGCGTAGTATTTGGCATGCAAGGCCCATAAGACCCCCCTTAAACCCCCGGAGCCGTGCCTTCATAATCAACACCACACCAGTCTCACACATCCAAAACAGCACATGATCTTCTAAATCTCTGCTGCAACCCTCTGTGTGTGTGTGTGTGTGTGTGTGTGTGTGTGTGTGTGTGTGCCTTTGATGTCTTCAGAAGCCAGATAAAACAGATGGGAGTCCAGCACCTGAGGGAAAATACACACAAGCTTAAATAAGATAACAACGCTACATGGCAAAAGGCCTTTCCTGGAATGGGAATATCTGCAGCCACAGGAGCACGCCGATGACTTTTTTTTTCATCCGTCAGAGGAAACTTGACGACACCTGAGAGAACACAAGAGACGGGTGTGGGCAGTGCACCACACAGGAATGTGCTGGGCCATTCAGACCTCAAACATTCACCTCCTCACACCTCCCGTTTAAACACCGGGCACATTCCTCACCATGTTAACCGAGCGAGACCCTGCAAAAATGTCTTTGTGCCAGTGTGCAAATGCTGTGAGGCCGAGGAAGAGGTTTGCTTAAAAGTGCTCGGACCGTCAAAAATAGGCTCGCGCTGGCAGACCTGTTGCACAATCTGATTGAGGGAGTAGGAGAGGGGGGGCAACACCTGTGCTAACACGTCCCACTAAACCCTGATATGGGGAACCATGTGACCTTGCGTGCACGGCTCTTCTCCTACCTCCTTTTAATGCAGAGGGCTTTCTTCACGCTGCGCTTACTTATCTTGCTGCACATCGCACACCAAAATCAACAAACACGCCCACACAAAAGTGTGTGTGGACAAAATCCATCCATGTGGCAGCAACTCGGTTTCACAATGCTGTTGCAGGCCGACATTCCAGCTTATCACACACAATCATTTGCATCCCACAAAAGAGTCTCAAGTGGCTTAAAAGAAATGTTTCACCATCAGGTCCGGGTGGCAAAATCCTGCTGTCTCAACAATTCAACAGTTGGTGCATTTCTGAGAATCCCAGCTAGCCGGTAAGAAGCTTTAAAGGCCCGAAGCCAACGTCACCTGACGTGGGACCTTAACGACACCGCCGTGCTCTCATCGCTCCGTGTAGTTACACATCTTAGAGCCTCCTTTGGCCTACCGGCTTCGATATCCTCAGACCCGCCACTCCCCAGTAAGCTATACGGGAGGCTTCCCTTCGGCACTTACCCTCGACAGCGGTGGACGAGAGCCCCACCATTTTCCGAGGCAACCGAGGAGACGAACCGGTTCCGATAGTTTGGCCCTGTGAAGCTCTTTGTGTCAGAGGGGAGCTGCAGTCGGCCTCCTGTTGAATTCACACATCTTTCACCTCTTCCTCTGATACCTCCCTCCCACTCTGCCTCCCCTCCTCTTGTCTCTTAGGGAGGGGGGTAGGCGGACCATGGTGCTGCTGTGTGTGTGTGTGTGTAGGCTGTAATCCCTGGGATTGTGTAGCACCTGGGAAAAAGGACTGCTGTGTAAACGCACACATGTCGACTAATGACTAACCAGCATTCTTTCACATTCTTTCCCTCCATACATGATTAACCGTTAACTAGTCGCACATCAAGGCTTCCACCCGGAGGATGCCAGTGAACCCACTGACATGCCAGACGCAGGAACAAGTGGGGAACTCTACATTTGAAATACATTTGAAAAAGATCTACATGAAGGGAAAGCCACAGGAGGGCTTGGAATCGGTGATGGAAACAAGTCGAGACTTTTTGGAGTTACACGTGGAGGACGTGTTGCCTCGAGGCGGATTCCTGTGCCCCAACACGATGCCTTTACTCACAAAACAAACCCTTGAGCACACGCACACAGGTACACCGCCAGATGCACGGCAATGCGGGACCCCACACACAAAAACGCACAGATCAAACACACTGCAAAGTGTAGGGTTTCACTGTACTGTATCAGCTGTAGATGAAAACGGTGTCAGCTGGCTGTAGGGCACGAGACTGCACAACCGTCACTGTGAAGTTACGGTTGGATGATAATGTAAAATAAAAATGTAAATCGCAGTTGGGCCTCTTTTCGCAGGTTTCCATTGAACATTCTTTGGTGAAAAGAGTTTTCAGAAATAAGCTTATTCACTTTCGTGAGAGTTGGGCAAGTGGATCTCCTTTTGTACAGGAAAATGCCTAGCTAAGCATAGTAATGCTAGCTAACTATGCTAAGCTATACTGGACTGACTGGCAAGACAATGGTATCAATCTTACTGTGTTACATACCAATACTGATTACTGTACTTAATGCAAAATACTTTTTTCAATACATTATTTAGACATAAAACAGACACACAAACAATTTTCTTCTTTTTCCATTTGACATAAAAAATGTGGTCTTTTGTTTGCCATATTTAGATTTCAATTAATTCAATGAGAATTCAATATGAAAAAAACGACAGGAATAAAATTTAAAAAAAAGGTGCAATAGATGATTGTGGTAGAATGATGAAAGAGCCATACTCTGCACAGGTACAGACGATATCAAAATAAAAAATCCAAAAAGGATGTGCGTGAAGAAAAATTTAGAAATGGTGCAGACAGGAAGTGCCCCTATAATAAAATGTGACACACAGACCACAAACATTCCCTGAGGCCTGTCTCCCAACTCCTCCAGAATCCTCTCTGGCTGTGACACAGCCTGACAAACCACTCCTCATTGTGACCAAATGCGACCTTTAACCTCTTTAGCAAAGCTGTGAACTCACACTGGAAGGCCACGGATGCCAGCGGAGGAGACCGGGGTGAAACCCTGCGAATACTAGATTGGAAAACGGACCCCTTTCCCAGGTTCACAGCGAGTCGGGGCTAATCAAGACCACCACAGATTCCACAAAAAGAGGGGTGGGGGGAGGGTGGGGGGCAACTAGACGCTAGACGAAGCCAGAGAGAGGAGCTCTGAACGATGGTGCCATCTGCGACTCTGCGAGGGATCAGCCTCTAATGAAAAGCGCTGGCTTTTCTCGGAAGTCTCCCCTTCCTTGTTGTCTTTGGACATGTTGGATCTGCGGCCATTTCCCGACCTGATCCGACATGTAAGAAAGCTGCAGGTTGAGGCCTTCGAGGCATCCAAGCACACTGGGGACTCTCGCTGAACAATGTGGGCCGGCAACTTCTAAAAGGAAATGAGAAAACGTTGCTTTTGTGCACGGAGCAGAATCTCATCTCATGTTAATTCAGCCACAGAGGCTTTCTGAGTAAAGAGACAGCACGAAAAAAAAAGAAGTGGAATAAAAAAAACACATTGACTCACATCCATCTTATCCGGCACGTAAGCCGTATATAAATCACTGAGGTGTGTGTGTGTTGACACCACATGCTAACGGTGAGGTAAGCCAGACGACCAGATGTGCTTGAGGTTTTTAATTACACGAAGAGTCGTGCCAACAGTGTCGTCTCTCACGGGCCTGTGCCCCATCACGATGAGATCTCCTCACACTCTCCTCCCGGGATTCCAGGCATTTCCCACGTCTGACGCTTCTCCTCTCCATCAGCGCCAAACAAGTCTGGGCATTTTCAAGCCAATCTCACCGGAGCAACACTGTTGCTTTATCGAGGAAAGGAATCAGTGCCGTGTGACCCGCAGCCCTCCGTGCGCCTGTCTGGCCGGGGCCTTCGTTCCATTAGGCGAGTTCACATTCCTGCAAGGCGCAGACTTATTTCAGTTGCTATCAACTCCAAACCAGTACCGGTGTGGTTCTGTATCTTTGACTGTTCGCTGGCAAGTTCCATGAAGACCCCTGAAGCATCCATTCGGATCTTCTTCCATCCAACGCCAACAAGAAACCGCTCTTGGTCCTACATCAGTTAACGAGTTGCCCAAAATGCATGGGGATGCCCCGTATACTCCCCTTAGAGATGAACTTCCTCCCCTTCCTCTGATGACATCACTTATCGCCTCCGGCCTTCTGTTTCCTTTTCCTGTCAGCTGACACGCTGCCCCCTTTTCTTTACCGTCCCCGGTGACCCCGCTCTCAATGCATCGTCTAGGTCCTCGGGTAGATAGCATCTACCCCTGTGTGTCAAAGGGTAGACAGCATAATGGAGCCTTAGAATGGGCCATTATTATAAACCTTGCCGCTGCAGGTATCCCCGTAGAGAGAGAACCGGTTTCTCATGGCCTGGACATGCACATTTATCATGTGGGTGGACATTTTAGACAAACACACAGGGACAAACATACCAAACGGACCATGCAAAAGTCAGTCCAAGTCGAGCAGCAGGTGAGGCGAGCATGTGGAAAAACGTATTTGGCTTGAAGGAGTCGTAAAGGTGCACAAATTAGCGGGAGGATGGGGGGGGGGGGGGGGACACATGCTCTCCCGACTGCTTTTATGGCGCACGGGAAGATGCTCCAGGTTGTCATAAAACCCAATCCCACAAATGCACGCACAAATACACCAGAGATGGAAACAGTTATTCTCCAGAAAGAATTGGCTGGTACATTAACTTGTAGACTTACTCGAGTCGGCTGATCGATTGCTAGAAAACAACACTTCATAACCTTAAATTGTGAAAAACCTGAAGCATTCCGCTGCACAATTATTTCCAGATTACATCTCGTTTAAGTCTCCCGAAGGTGAAGCGAGGTAAAGATACAATCCACCAAATCCAGCCAATATTTGGAGACATCATTTAAGTGGCCGTACTCAATGTCTACCGCCAATTTCTAACTTGAACGTGCACCCTCAATTCTTTGTAATTAGGCCACTCTAATTAGCTTGTCATAGTAATTAGGCCCTCTTCAGCGACTGGGCGTCTCCATGGTGATGTTGGGGGGAGGTAATTGGTTTTTGGACTCCATCTAACCAGCACTATAAACAAACACAGCAGTTCATCTAACATCCACTGGGTTTATTCACTGCGTTATGGCAGGTTGATGGCCGAGATCTGATGTGAAATCTCAAACAAAAGATGTGTGCTTTGGAAATGTTTTGGTTGCACATGTGTGTGACATGTGAGTGTTTATGACCATTATGTCCTGACACATTGTTACTTGTTCTGTGACCGTGGTCCCTCCTCCTCCCCAAAACAGTTCATGTCAGATTCCTTCCTCTCAGCACTGTTACAGACGTGTAAAGCCAGCAGGGGATTTCCCTGTCTTTTCCCA